AAAGTAACTTGGGGAAAGGAAACAAAAAATGCGAGTGTCTGTGCGGGCTCTTGTAACTGAGGAGCTGTTGAGCAGGAACGCTCGTGATGGGGATTTATTTATTTACCTGTGTGCAGGTGAGCAAGGAGTGCGCCGCAGGGTCTGTTTGCAGAGCCGGGCGAAAGGAGCCACAGTGGGGATGCGCCAGCGCGGGCCGCTCGCCGCGCTTCGCTGTCAGCAGTTGTGCAATAGGGAGGGCCTGGAGGAATTCCTCTTGCTTGACTCAAGTCCGCTCGCGGGAGAGTTCGGTTTATGTTCTGCCCGATAACTTTGTTAGCGTTTCCTAAATGGATATACTGGGCTCTTCTGAGAGTGAAATCTGTTTGCCTGCTGCCCTGGGTAGTTAATCAAGGTCAGGTTGAGAAGGAGACTAGAATGTTAATTGCTTATAACAGTGCTGCCTTGGCTGGAACGTAAGAAGTGTATAATTAATTCTTACCTTTAATTGGATAAGTTCTCTGAAGCCTCGTCTTTGGTTCTTGTGGTTCCTGGATAACTTAGGCAATGATTTGACCTATTTTGACCTAAATTTGACCAATTTTGACCTAAATTCTCCCTGCTGTATAGGAAAAGGTGCAATCTCTGGTTTATTTGTAGGGGATGCTAAATTCTGTATGACTGCCTCTTTGATACGTTACTTCAGCCCTGGAAACCATGTGCTGCCTGTGGCTGTAACGTGTCAGACCTTTGGCATAAGTGGACGTTGTCACTACAGAAAAGCAATCCTGCCTCTTTCCTCCTTGTTTCTGCCCGTGTGGCACCGTCCCCTGCGGAGGGGAGCGCTGGGGCTGCGGGCCCAACTAAAGAATGTGCGTGGGGGAGAGCTTATTGTTCGGCCCTGCAAGTGGTTGTCTTCGGTATTTATACTGTGTTCTACATTCTTGCCTATTATTATTATTTTTTTAAAGATATTTTCATTTTACTGTTACATTTGTGTTGGGAAGCCTTGAGAAGCCTCTGTAGCAGTTTGGTCAACAGTCACACGTGTTTGCTCTTTATTACTTCATTTTGTTCCTTACCGGTTTCAAACTTCTCTTCCTTGCCCACAGGGTTCTTTTCTCTTGTGCTTCCTGTACGAAGAGAGTTTCTTCAGGTAAGAAATAGTGACTTAGTGCTCCCACTTTATGCTTAATGTCAAAATGCCAGTAGCCACATGGCCTGTAACTTCCAGAGAACATGTTGGCACTAGTGACTTCTCAGGCTGTGTTCTTGTAAAAAGCAACTTCTTTTTTTTTTAGAAGGATGTATTCACCGAATTTAAACAATCACTTGTGTGCACATGTATAGTGTGGCCATTCCCACTGACTGTAGATGCATATACAAACATATGTTATTTTGTGCAATGTAATATATACTGTGGTTTTTTTTTGAATGTTGCTAATTCAGAAACTTGAGAAAGAAAAAAAACCCCTGGACTTGAGTACTTCTGGCCAACCTTGTTTAAATACAACCAACTGAAGTCTGCCCTGCCTGTTCTAGTCCTCCATTTTGGGTCAATTTCCAAAGTTGGTCAAAACTGTAGTGTTTTGTGAATTTTTTGTTTTAAGGAAGGCATCACTAAAGAGCTTTCTTATTGTTGTTACTGAGGTTAAAATATTGATTTTTAAAAAAGTTTCTTCTTCTCTCATACGGAAATGAAGAATATTCTCTGCTTCCATATAGTGCAGTAGTTGGCCTTGCTCCTTTGACAGGAAGAACTCTCTTGAGCATGTTCACTGCTCCAGCTATAGAACTGAGCATCTTTAGCCTATGGACATGATGGACATTGCTGTTGCTTCAGTTAGGATCTTTAATTAGTCTTAGTGCTGAAATCTAAATGGCTTCTGTAGTGTCATAGGGCTTTCAAATGCACCAGACCCTTCACGAGTCCTCACCGCACTGGAAGATGCCGATGACTTGGTCCCTAGGGCTCTGCCGAGCTCGCAGCTCTCTCTTGTCGGCCTTGCTGTCGTCAGCCTTGAGAAACGGGCACTGATTTGAGACACGTGTCCTTTCCGTCCCTGAGCTGTGAGATGAGTCTAGAGGCAGCCTTGAGGTGTATCACTTTCTGTAATAAAATAGGCTTCACTTCTTCCTTACAGTGTGGAACACGTTCAAACACTCTGTCTGCTTCACAACGTCAACAAAATACAAAGTCCTTTATCAAGAAGTAGAGTGGCCTTGATCCTGCCCAGTCAGAAAGCGATTGGGAGTGGAATAGCAAATGCTGTATCTGACTGTTAGGACAATATTCACCGGCTGGCTGTAAACAGTGACTGAGGAGGGTTTCAGCAGTCACTACCTCAGGTGGTAACTGTGGAAAATGCTCAGTCCTTCCATCTTAGTCTTGTTATTTTTCTTCCGATGGTTATAATACATTTTGGTGCTCACTGATGAGAAAAATCTCATGTTCAACACTTTGCTACAAATGCACTTATGCTGTTTGAATATCTAGAGCAATCTCAAAGCCAGGCATAGGACGGCTGGTCCAAAATGAAGAGTTTGCTGACCACTAGATAGCCTTAAGTACTAAATTTCTGTGCTACTGCGAACAGCTTCTGTCACCATTTCTTAAAGCTCAGAAATGGTGTGGTAATTGGCGTGGTTCAGTAAAGCTGTGGTCATCTGTGATCTTGTAAATGCAGGCTTTCCTAAAATACCAAGCTATTCCTTTCAGAAAAGTTGTCGGTGATGATACTTAAGTGTCATTTAAGAGTTAAATGTTTGTGCTAGCTTTAAAGCTTTGACATCAATTGAAGAGCAGCATTAGATTCAGTAAGCTAGATGTTTTGACCAAATGTGCTTCTGTTTGTTTGCTTTTTCTTTTTTCTTGCAGCCTGTGAGGAAGTATAGCACAGGAATGAGAATCTGTCCCTATCTTTCCTTCTGTTTTCCTTCTTTTTTTCTGCAAAAAGGTGGTATGACTCCACAGGTGTTCGTTAGGCAGGACTGAAGGGACTTTTTGAGGACAATAACAGTTTGTTTGGCATGAGGCAGTGTTTCTTTTTTTTTTTAATACGATGCTAATATATTCTTTTTTTCAGTTCAAGTTTCAATCAGGAAAAACTGCGTTGGGCTTCCCAATGCAGACTGAATTAGGCTTCCCAGAGCAATTCAGGCCTGTAGCCTGTTTTCTGTCACCCTTCTGAAGTCTGCAGGAGTCTCATATATGGAACGGAGCGGCTGTGTGGATGCAGAAGCAGTTCTGAACGTTTACGTGACGCAGCCGCAGCTCCTCCTGCCGTGTGTGGGGGGCCGTGGCGCCTCCGGCCAGGGAGGTCTCGGGCCTCGGGGAGCGGTCGCGGTGCCTCGAGGAGCGGTTCTGGCTCTTGCCTCCCGTCCGTTCGCGTGGCTCGCTGCAGCCGGGGCTGGCGCCACGAGCCTCGGCTTCCGTGGGAAACCCGGCCAGCAGCCTGCAGGGCTTCTTGGGTTGGGACACGACTGAGCGCTTCATTTCCTTGAGAGAGTTCTTACCGTTCAAGCTGTTAGCTTGCACCTCGGAGTGTGCCTCACGCAGAGTTTGTGGTTTTTTCTTGTCCAAGGTCTAGAACCAAGGGAATGTTAGAAATCTAAAGTTGACAAAAATTTTTCAATGCAAGAATTGTCTTTTTTTTTTTTTTTTTTTCTACTCTTTTGTGGCTGTTTATAAATGCAAGAAGATTGTTTTTGCATATCTTAATTATTGAAAGGAGCTTATTAAATATTGAAGCCTAGGTTTTATTAAACATAGATTTCTGAGATAAGTATTAGAGTGTATCTCTGTGAATGTATTTTCGAAGGTACTGTGGCTAGATGCATCAAACCTGGATTTTTGGTTTTAAATATCCTATATTAAAAGTTTATGAGGAAAGTTCCTTAACCGTGATGATGCCACAGCAGAAATCCCCTAGTGTGAGTAGAAATTGTATGCTGCGTTGGAAATGACGATTTTGGTTCAGTGAGTCTCAAGTCTCCTTTAATTCTTTTGCAGAAGGAATTCGATGCGCTTCCAGATCTAGAATGCTCAAGCATTTTGACCCTTTGGCGCAGATCTGTCGCTCTGGAATTTGTTTATGGCTTGCTCTTGTTCTTAAATATTAGTTTTGGTGTTTTTTTTTTCCCTCCCTCCCTCTGTCCTCCAAGTTAAAGAAGGTTTGGATGTTGTGAGTATAATTAATGCAGTGATACTTGTGGGGGTTTCTTGGTAGCAGTTTTCATTAAGCTCATGGAAGGAGGAGGTGGTGTTAGAGTGGTTGCAGTTAAGACTGGGGCTGTTTTGGTTGTATTTGTTTGAAAACCCTTTCTGCTGAATGGTGGTGGATCGAAGTCAGGAGAGGAGCTAAGAATTTCAGTGACTTGGAGAAACAGAGGGAGGAAAAGGAAGAAAAGATGTGATGCGGGAGAAGACAACAGTGTGAGCTTCTGTTTTCATCATATTTAGTGATCCATTGGAAAAGAAAGTGAACACACATGCTTGTGTGTTGGTGATGACTGGTTTTTAGTCTGTTATTTCACCTTCAAGTCCTATGGTTTCAATAATGGGCAAGACAAAACTGGCTATAGTCTGTACCTTTCTTTGGTCCGTGCAGTGGGTTTGTCATGTCAGTAGGACGTTCTGCTCCACGTATGTGTAGACAGTGCCTCAGCTTTTGACTTACTGACATATGCAAAGTTCACTGGTGAAACTGGCTGCTTGCTTAGCTTGTTCGGTGCTGTCTGGTGCACCAAAGCAGGAATAGCTAGCTGTAAACTTCCTGATGGCTTCTACTTGGCAAAGGATAAATAAATGATTAAAAAAAAATAAAAAGAGGTTGTTAAAACATTGTGGGGGGCTCTGTTTCTAATTTGGATGACAGCAGCTTACTGACTCTCAGTATTGAAATAACTTCAGAGTAATTGACCTTGCTAGAATAATGACTGTTGAGTAAGCATTTTTCTGAACTCTGAAATACCTGTGTTGCGGAACTCGTATGACTCCTTTTTTTTTTTTTTTTCTTCACTATAGTTGCACATAAATACTTGGAATGTCTGCATCTCTGTAAGCAACGAGTTTCTTCTTGGTGAGTATAGCTAAATATCTCTTTTGTTAGTTTTAGCCTTATTTTCTTTAAGCTGTTGAAACTGTGGTTTAAATTTCGGGGTTTTCCTAATTTTTGCAAATGTGTTTTATAGTCTTAAAATGAGCTTGCAGATTTTTAATTGGATAAAATATGGCAGTTTGATTGAAGTAGATATTCTTGAAAATACTGTATGTCATTTAGGAAACACATACTTAATTTCATATGACTTAAAGCAAAAAATACAGCTACAAAACACTTCCCAAATCTTTTTGCTTGTCCCTTGCCTGTTTTTTTTTTTCTTTTTTTTTTAAAGGGGCAGGGAACAAGCAAAAAAAGAAACTTAACCAGCTAAATGAGAGATGATCAAGTGACTAAAAAATGAATACTCATTTCTTTAATTGCACTTGGTAATAGATTTTATTGTAGAAGGTTGCCATTTCTTTGTTCTGTCGAATTATCCATGTTTTAATTTCTGCTTCTGTGTTGGTCTTTCCTAGCCTCCACACAACAGCACAGTTGTGTGGGATGATGTTGAGAGGATGAAAATGAGTTTTGCAAAATGCCCTTTAATTCAGCAGAGAGCATGAGGCCCTCGGTTTAGAGAGGGTGACTTATGTCTGCTGGTAGCTCTTCATGGTCACACCAAGGGTGTTGAGTAATTCTAGGCCCCCACCTGAAGAGCAGAGCAGATAGAGCTTTTGAGGTGTTGTAGCTTTGTTGGTCTACTAGTAGGTTCGTTAACGAGAGAAAAACATGGATCTGAAATTATGTAAAAGTCTTTTGCTCTGAGTAAATATTTCAGCTTTAAGGAACTACCTATACAGTGTCCTTATCACTGGAAATTAAAGTATTAATTCAAGATCCAATTTCGAGTGTTGTGTTGCTCAGTCAAGAACTTGCTTCCTGTGCTATATTGATTTAGTCTTGGAAACTTCCAAAGAAAGGAGTGAGTGTTGGTCAAGATCTAGTTGAGGATCCTCCATAGTGCAGGCCAGAACCAGCTGCATGCAGCCCCGTGTCTTGTTTGGAACGTGTCTTTTGGATAGATATGTGCAGGAGCTGCATTATTCCTGGAAGTTGCCAGGAATGTCTAATTGTCTGCCTGTCCAGATGGAATTTTGCTGTAGCTGCTGCTCCTGCATTAGAAGACTGGGTAGAAGGTCCGAAGCTTTGTGGTTGAGGACACGTGTGAGTTATGACTGTGTCCTGAGGCGCACTCGCTTTACTTTGAAGCACTATGTGTATGCGAAGCATGAGGGGGGAACAGAGAAATCCTTAGATTAGTAGCTAGTACAGAAACCATTGCTTGGTTATATATAACTGATGTGTCTTAGTGGTGGTTTTTTTAATTACCAGGGAAAATAACAGTGAGCTATAATTGATAGTGGCAGTGATGCTGCAGGCAGAATCTGGTAGGCACAGTACAGGCAGGTGTTTTTGTCTGTGGACAGTAAGTCAGTGCCTCCTAGGTTGGTACCAAAGTCATTTTATAAAATGGTGCTTCAATATTTGTGAGCATTATACTCAGTTTTCCTGAGATGCTGTAGGTTTGTCTAACGTAATGGTGCCTGTAAGTCGTGTTGTGCAGTGTTCCTCCTCTGCAGGTGTGTGGTTCCAGCACGGCGTGGCCGTGGGCACGCGCCCGCACAGGGGCCAGGGCTTCCCAGGGGACCGTCCCTTCCTGCGGGGCTGCGTGCGCGGGACCAGCTGCTGCGCGAGGCCTTCGGGCGCGCGGCCGGCTGCTGGAGAGGAAGGGCCGTGCCCGAGGGAGGCACGGGGCGCTGGGGAAAGGTCAAAAGCAGCTGTGGCTGAGCAGGAAAGACTTTAAAACATGCTGGGCCTCAGTCCTTGGCCATTTCAAAATGGGCAGTTCTGTGTGATGGCAGCTTTGGCACGCTCTCTAGTGCTGGAGGGAGTGATAGAGTCAGCTTGTGTTTTGTGGCATCTATGTTATGTGTCCTGGCAGAGGAACTGTTAATACTGCTGTGCATTAAGAAAGCAAAATATACCTGTATCTTCCAGTGCTTGTGGAGGAGCCAAATTTCACCTCGTGGCATTAGCGGACCAGTATTTAGCTGTACCTGTGCAGCACCTCCTGTGAAAACAGTGCAGTCTGTTGCTAATTCTTTTCACTGCAGCAGTGCTGTCAGTGCTTTTTATTAACCCAACACCTGTCCTGCCTCCAGCTCTTCATAGTCCTCTTGACCCTCTAGCCATGCGGAATGGCTCTTGGGAAACTCACAGCATGCTTCCCAGGCAGGCTGAATTCAATGTGATTTTCCTCCAAATATTTACATATTTGTATTTATGTAATCTGTCAGAGTTTTAACATGCTTATTTATCAATCCAGAGGACTAAGGCTATGAATAAAGTGTAAGTGTCTCTATTATTTTCCTCTCCCCAGTATTTGGCTCTGGAGGGGGGGGAAAAAAAAATCTGGCTTTCACGCAGATATATTAAAGAAAGAAGGAGGCCGAGTTGTGGAAACCAACTGTAAGCTAAGTGATATACCAAGTTTAGAGATAAAACTTACCCATGAGAGATTAAAACAGACCTGTACTCTCAAAGAGAATTTGTTTTAAAATGGAAAGAAAAAAAAAAAAAGCATTTTTAGCAGGGAAAGTGCGAAGGAGAACATGTTTCTTCCTGGTACTTGTGGGTTATTGAATAGTCTTTTAAATCTTAATTGCCTCATAATGGCTTCTGTTTGGAAGAAAATGCTCCCCTGTTTTAACAGTAGAACCCAATAGCTTTAGTGACATGGACTTTTGTTTGGAAGAGTGACTTGCCTAAGTCCCAGCATAATGGTTCCTGAAACAGACCTAATCTTCCTAGTGGGGTGACAAGTTCTAGAGAAAAGGCTTACAACTTTGGGAGCAAGCCTAATAACCAGCCCTTGTTTTAATTGTGGTCTTGAGCACTTCAGAAATGCGGATTCCTGAAGTTACCAAAGTAAAAATCCTGCCCAAGTTTGGCAGGCAAGTTACCAAGTTAACTCAAATTCTTTCTGCTGAATAGCATTTTTAAGGAGATGTTTGGATAAAGCTTTCTTCTTTCCAAGTCATAGCTGTTACGCTCTCTAACTTAGCCTGGGGTGCTTTGTTAAGAAATCTCTTCTGATATGATTTAATTTAAAGTTTCTAATTAATCTAAGGTTTCTAAATTGAGGTTTCCAAGTTTCTGCCCTTCTCACAAAGGAGGGCAGAGGGGCTGGACCTTAAATTGCTGAGCAGAGGCAAGGCCCCGTGTTGCCTCCGAGAGCGGAGGCCTCCTGTTGCTGCGGTGCTGGTGCTGGCGCAGTGCAGACGGGTCTCGGAGCTGCCTGCTGCTCTCCCTGGGGAGAGGCGGGCGAGGGCAGCGGCCACGAGGGTCGGAGGGTCGAGGGTCTGCACCGTGCGGCTTCCACCTCGCCTCATGGCCATGTGGTTACGGCTCCAATCGCTGAGTTGCTCTGGTGAGTAACTGATTTAGCTCGTGTCACGTGCTGCCAAGTTGGGACCTGCTCGAGAAAGCTGTGTCTAAAATGAGCTGCGAACGAAGAGGACGGCGTGGCTGGCCACACGTGTTAAGTGTGGGGACTGATGGATCTAGTGAAATGGATCATTCAGATGCGAGAGATAACGCGGAGGAGCCCGAGTTTAATGAACTTGGGGCAGACGAGTAAGGAAGGATGTGGGAGGGGGGGCAGAAATGAGAAACAAATTTTTGTCCTTACTGTTCCTGCCCACTCCCGAGTTTTTCCATCAGTTGCCTTGCAGCGAGTCTGGCTGGCATAGTGATGCGTAGCCTGTGCGTGCTGCAAAACACACTCGTGTCCCCCTGACTGCAGCTAGAAATTGGAAGCAGTTTGGGTATTTCACGGAGTCTGTAGCCTCTGTAAATATAACTAAATGCTTCCCTTTCCTTGTGGTACTCTTAGCCATTTTCTGATAGTCAACTGAGAATATACTAATGCCTTCCTCATCAGGTTTGATGTGGTTTTGGGTGCTGCTAGAAGCCCTGTTTTATGGGATTTTGCTGCTGAAGTCTGCAGACATGTAGCGTGCTCCTCCTGGAGCCTCAGAGACCTGCCCAAAAGGACTCTGGTGCTCCAGCATTGCGGCCCTTCCGGAAGGGGACTGGTGCAGATGGCCTGGGTACATCTTTGGGACTGTTTTGTCTCTTCATGTCCATTCTCAGTGGAAAACTGAAATAAGTTTTGTGGTACAGGAGAGGACTTGCAGCTGTGCTTTCTCTTACACTAGAAGTAAAACACAGAGTTTCTTTCTATTATGCATTTGGAGTCATTGAATTTTAGTGCTAATGGCAGAAGGTGATACTTTATTGCTTATAAATATGTAAGGGAAAATAGTGCATATTTTAGATATAAGGGGCTAACCTGTTTGAAAAAGTAACCTGTTTGGAGAGGGGAAAAAAAAAGACAAACTTTCTTCTAAAATTTCCTCCTTTTTCCCAGTTAAGTTATGGAGTTATAAGTTAAAGAAATAAACAATTGAACAAAAAACTCTAGCACGCTCGAGCTGTGTTAGGAGATGGTAGGTAGTGAACTGAATCAGAACCACGCTATGCTGACCCCGTATTTGGTTATCGGATACTATGGAAAAGTAACGCTCAATGTTTCTGAATTCTTATCTGACTACAATGTTTTCTAGTTAGTGTGAAGCACCATATAGTGAATTGAGCACTAAGAGTATTTTTTTTTCCCCTCCCACCTTGCTTATTCTTTGCAGGCTTTTTTATTTATTTTGTGAAATAGAAGATGCCTTTTGGTGGGATGCCCACTTGACTCTTGCCATCCCTTGGCAAATGGCCTGACTTAAACAATGTAAATCAAGTAGGTTTTGCCTATATAGAAGGTTCATGATCTTCCTAAAGATCTTTCATATCTAAACTGCATTGCAACTCTGGATAGTTATTCCTAAATACAGTCTTGTAAATGATGTCATTCAAGATCTGAAATCGGTGAAAAGAAACTACTCCTGCTTAATTCTTACCTTACAGTGCATGTTTCCTTATTCCTCTAGTGTGAGATAAGGTGGGGGTTTGTTTGTTTGTTTGTTCTGTTTTTTTAATTCAGTCTTCAAGATAAAGTCCTGCGTGTGCAGGGGGTTTGGACTAGATGATCTCTAGAGGTCTGTTCCAACCTTAACCGTTCTGTGATTCTCTGAAGAATGACGAACAAAACGTGTTTGTTTGAATTTTGGAGGTTGTGAGCTTAAAGATTTCACAAATAAGACATAATTCGTGTGACACAGCTAATGCAAATTTGGGGAAAAGAAAACCCAGTCAGGAGTTTCTACTGAATGTACCTCAAGAATGATACTATTCTGGCAAGATTCTTAAATGTGTATGTAACTATTGGAAACTTGTTCCAAGGAACGGTATTTTTACTTCCTAGTGAAAATGGGGAAGTGGAAAGAAAGCAGTGCAAATGGAAACAATGTAGGCAGTTATATTTTAAAAATAGTTAAATAACTCCATATTTCTGGTGTCCCTGTTGCATTTGTAGTGATGAGGTGACATAGTGTTATGGGTAGTTTACTAAAGTGATAGCTTTTGGAGGCTTTCTGGATGCTGTGTGTGTTTCTGCCACCTCCTGTTTGCTGAATGCCTCTTTCTCATCAAAACCTGGAAGGGGTGGGGGGAAGTAATATCATGAAACCTTTATGTCAGACACGAATAAACACGGGATTGCAAACAGTTCTTAACTGACTTGGAACTGGGGTTGGTGGACAAAGGTTGAGCCTCAGTCTTTTATGGGCCATGTAGCTACTACTTTGTACATATATTTGAAATGATTCTGCACACTGTCCATTGGGATTCATTTTATTAGAGGGAATTGTCCCTGTGACTTCTGCAAGCGAGAAATAACGAGTTCCCTTAACACCTAGCTTCTGGGGGTATGGTGCTTATTTTTTGTATGTGTCTTGATTAGTGATTGATATTTAATTGCATTTTTCAGGGGAATAAAATCAGCAGTGTTGCTATTACAAAATGACAAAACATCCACCGAATAGAAGAGGGATCAACTTTGAGGTGGGAGCCCAGTTGGAAGCCCGTGACAGATTAAAAAACTGGTATTTTTTAAAAAATTCATATTATATTAACGCTAAGTCTTTAATATCTTAAAAACATTTTACTTTGGTATCGTATGTAGAGTCCTAGTTTATAGGAAAATAGTTAATTTTTAAATGCTTACATACCAGTGGTTGAAATGGGCAATAAATGCTGTTATGTTGTGCTGGCTCTTAGAAAGAAGCATACCCGTGCTGTCTGCATCTGGGAAAGAGCTAAACCTCAGTGTAGTGCAGCTCCAGGCTTGAGTGCTCTTTAATTCACACTTTAAACACTGTGCCATACACATCTCACAGAGCAGTCTAGGAGGGGGGTGAGTCCTCTGCAGTCTGTGATACCCAAGGCAGCTCCTCACTGCTTTCCTTTCCATCATTGTTATGAATTCGTAGGCTTAATGTTGTGGTCTGTGCTCATTGGTAAACTTAGTTAAATACAGATTTAAAGAATTGAAAAGGGCTGCGCATTCCTAACAGGAAGTTTGTTTTGGAGTCTACCTTGAAGGCCTCATAGTTGAGAAAAGTTTATCTCACATAACTGCAGTGGGGGGTGTAGTGCATCTTCTAACTATGTCTGTTTTAGAAAGTTAGCTTGCAAATTAGCATTTAATAATGTTTAGTGAATGGGATACAAGACTAAAAACTGCCAGGGTAAAGGACTTGAATATGAGTGTCAACTGGACATTGTTAGTTCCTTCAGTTATCTTCTCTCTGTTGTTTGACCAACTGATGGTTGATTTTTATTTAAGAGTCTCTGTGGGTTAAATCTGGTTGTACTTCAGCCTCTAGAAACGGCAGGCAAGATGAGCTGTAGAAGTCACCACGTTGCAAACCACCGAGGCGTCCCGGGAGCAGGGGGTAATGTACGTGGCTGGGTCCAAAATGCCTCAGCTGCTTCCTAGATCTTGTTCACTTTTCAGGTAGAAGGGGAATGGAATTGTAAAAATGAATAAACATATCTCTTCAGAAGAAAAGTACAAACATTACATTGTATTTTATGTTGGCTTTCCTGTGTGAATTAAAGCAGCAGGGCCTCAATTTGAATCTATTCACATCTTTTGCATGCAAGGAGATCTTGGCAAGTTTACAGCAGTGAGATTTCTAAACCTGTCTGTACAATACATGCAGTGTAGGCTTACTAGAGGTATAGTTTAATCTATTTTTTTCCTAAGTAAGTCACGTAAGTGGTTTGTGACCTATCTGACTGCTTTGGAGAAAAACAGTGACTAAAAATACAAGTACTTAGTTCTCATATGGTAAATTTGCAAAATAGGGTGAAAAAAAAACAGCACCTGTTGTTGCTTATCTCTCTCTCTTTCTTTTTTCTTTTTTTTCTTTTTTTTCTTTTTTTTTTTTTTTAGTGTTTTGACCGTATTGCAGTTCTTCAGCTCTTGAAAACTCATGTCTTCTGTGCAGTGTTTTGCCACTCGTTAGTTCAGAACCTAGTTATCGGCTCTCCATTTTTGAAAGTTTTCTTTCGCTTGCTGGTGTGAACCCTGGGTCAGAAAGCTCACGTTTCCTTAACCAGTCCCCCACATGTATTCGTTCTTTTAGGAGCTGAGAACCAAAAGCTACCAGAGCTGGATGTGTATTTTCTCTCGGCAATAGGAGTAGTGACAGACCAAGGCCCACCACTTGTGGAAGGTGTGGCCTTGTGGAGGACAACAGGATTTTGCCATCTCCCCTGTGTTTATTTTCACCTGCCACAGTGAGAATGGGAATACTCCTTGGTGTGGTTTTGATGTGCTTTTCAGATGGATTCAAGACTTCTGTTGTGATAATTGCTCTTCCCAGTGCTAGGCCATCAGAGGTCTTAAGTGTTTCTTGTGCATTACTGTGTTATCTTGACATGTGAAACATAAGCAGAAGTCTCCTGTTTTAAATGAGATCTGGCTTTCATTTCTGTGCTCAGTACCTTACACACTAGTCAATTGAAGGGCCAGTATTGCTTCTCAGATGGCTGTGGTGCTTTGAGGAAAAGTGTTTAATCTTGGAGCCCAATGTACATGTCTTTTCATGGCCAGGGCTCATGTCTTGGAATATTAGCTTGGGGCTTCCTGGATGTTCAAGTGTAATGCCCATCTCCCAGCTGTGTGTAAGAGAAAAAGGGTGAAAAGCGAACTACCTGTGCAAAGTGAACTTGAATTGGGTGTCTTTAGATCCCTTATCAAAGGGATCTAGTTGTCTGCTGGAACATAATAATCATGCATTTCAGTTCCTGGTGTGTATCTGTGTCATCTCCTGGACTCAAACTCCAGAGAGTACAGTGAGTCCACGTTTGTTGTTGCTTGGCTTCATTTTGGGAGGTTTGACTGGCTCATCCAAAGCTATCATGAATTGTCCCCGATGACCATTTGCTGACCAGATAGCATCAAAAGAGGGAAGAGCCCTGTCCACCAGCCAGTGCCTCCATGCATCCATCCGAGTACTGAGTTCCAGAGGATGTGGTGGGACCACTCCACTAATGCGGACCCTGGCAGATCCCAGAGGGATCAGCTGCATCCATTGACATACACATACTGTCCCTGGGAAATTGAGTTGTTGGAATTGTTTGTGTTGGATCACTTAAACCCCTTGGCCCTGGAAAGCAGCAACTGCACTATAACGAAAAGAGGATGGCTGTGCTGGACGATTGTAGGAGGCAGGTGGTGACCTTGTTGTAACGACATCTTTCTCTTTGCTCTATCTACTACATGAGGAAAATGGAGATTAAGAGACTTCTGATTCAGATTAAGGCTCTTCAGCCTTGAGCTCAAGATTAGTATTTTAAGAGTATTGTGCTACCCTGTTAAGGGTAAAGATTGTCAGTCTCAAGAGATGTAATTGCTGTCATTGTCAGGACTTTGTCCCAGTACTGAGAAGCTAGGAAACCACATATGTGTTCATAGTGCCGGTCCTCCAAGGTGTCTCGCTTCCTTTTGGTGTTCCTTTGACTGCAGAAAGATCGTCCCTTTCTAGTTCCAGGAGAAAAAAGACTTCACTGAAATTATGATTTGGTGTCATAATTAGGAAAGAAAGGAGACAAACCAATCCTGAACTGAGAGATAGGAACTCCTCTGGTTAGCACTCTGATTTTGAATTTTCAGGTATTCCCGTCTTCATAGCAAGGGATGGATTTGCACTTGTATCTAAAAGAAGCTGCTTTCATAATGCTTGCTGTGCTCTGGCAGCAGTTGTCTGGAGTTGCCTGTTGTCGATAGCCCCCAGAACTTCAGAGTTCTGCTGTTTGAGGTCCTGACCGACCCTTGTGTTTCTAGTGAAACTCTAGTCCCACCAGCGTGTGCATCTTGGTTTTCTCTTTTTTGATGTCTAGTCATCACATTTTTCATAAGTCCTTGAAAGGTACAAGCCAGTCATTCCCTTTGAATTTTTCTGAAAAATAACTTGCTTTGATGCCCTGATAAATTGCCCAAAGTTTGCAAGAATTTCAGCTTGTTTTTATGACGTGGTAGAACAGTATTCAGAGCGATATTGGGAGATTTCTTGCTTGGGATTAGTTAACAGTCTTGGAAGTCCGTGCAGTCAGCTAAACGCCTCCTTCATGGTCTGGAGGAGGAGCTGTTTGACCTTACTGGGACACGTGGCAACCTGTACTCTCTTTTCATGCCCTAGGCTAGGTTTCAGCTTAGGTGTTTCACCTTGTCATTCCGTAGGTGCTTTCTTGATTAAACAAGAGGGCCTGCCTTTAGTTGCCTCGGCCCGGGGTATTTAAAGTCTTCTTGCCCCATGTGCAGGGGTTTGGGGTATTATTCCTCTTCTCTGTAGTTCTGTAGGGATGTGTGCCCCCTGATGAGGCTCAGCACGTGGGACTGAGCTCTTGAGAGCTTGTGACCCTTTCTCTTTAACCTTGAAGTTGCCAGGTGCTGGACAGCACTATGGTGTTTGTGTCCCAAAAGAAGTTAGCATTGGGAAGGTTCCAGGCTCGTGAATGCATCTAGCATAGTGTCTTAGTGACTTAGTGTTTCAGTGGAGCATGGAACAGGATACTGGTGGATGATGGCTGCTTTAGAAAGGTAAGATTTATTAGAATTTTTCAGGGTATTATTCAGGAGCTGGCTGAGGGCTCTGGTTTGTCTCCGTTTGCTCCAGACCAGGCTGAAATTTGGTCTCATTCTCAGGTGTCTTTTGCAGTTCTTGCGGTTATATTAATACTTCTCTCTATCTGAGAGTTTTCAGAAGGTGAGGTGGGACAGACACAGGTAGTGATATTTGTGCATGGTTCTGGGATGATGGTTCTTGATGTGAAGGATGATGTTCCTTCTTTAATTGGGTATGAGGCAGGGTGTGGTTTTGCATCATATAACTTGTTTGACCCTTACCACTTTAGCATGTATCTCCCCAGAGAGACAGACAACATATCCTAAATGATGATTGGCGTGATGTTGAGCCAGTTCTCCTTAGTTTTCATCAGCTTCCCTCTGGGTCTCTGGGAATCTGGATGAGCCCTAGACCCACTGCAGACCTGATAGCAAGGACTTATTTCCTGCTGGCCTCTTACTGAGGATCTGTGGATTCTTACCCTTTGGTTATGCTGGGCTCTGCAGGACTTGGATACTCTCAAAGGAAATGCATGGCATCTAATAGATTTGATATTTTTTACTGCCAAGAGACTGTCTTTGAGGTATTAGTTACCAGTTGCCTGCCTTGAATTTCTGTGAAAGCAGTGATTTTGGTGATTGTTGTAGCTATGGACAGAGTAAGAAAGATTTATGTCCTAAAGGCAGGCAGATCTTGCCTGGTGTTTTTAATTCTCACAGACTCTCTCTCCAGGCCTGTTCTGATCTCTCTCCATAGCCCCTCTCAACTTGTCTGAGATGGGGGATTAATAGCAGGGTTTTTATCTGGAACATATTTTCAGAATGGAACTTGCTCAACGCATTGGAGGCCAAGAGGGTTTGTCTTGCATCTTTACATCTTTAGATTAAGTCTTCAGAAGGCCTTACAAGGAGGTTTCCTGTGGGTTGGATGTCTCTGCCTAGTGCTGTTTCATGTGGGTGCTGTTTAGATGACTGTTGTAGTGTATTGGAACAAGTCAAGAGCCTGCTGCTATGCAAGGTACTATTGTGGGTCAGAATCTGTGTTGTCAAAGCTGAGATGCCTGTGTCACCAGGAGCTCCCATCTGCCATCCTCTCTCCAAACTGCTTTAGCTCCACATATTTTGATAGCATTCTGGGCCAATCTAAGGCAGGACGGACGTGGCACCCAGCGGTAAGGAGGGCCCCAGCGTGCGGCCACAGTGCGAGACGTGGTGGCTTTTTCACTTGCGTCTCCCTTCTGGACACAGACCATAATTGCTGAAGAACTTCAGTTACGAGTAGATAGCCTTTCTTTTCATCAGTGCATGACTGTAAAATGATAGACCGAAAACATTAAAACACTGCATTTAAGTCTCAGTTTTGTTGAGTTTGGATTTTATTTTTAGTGCCGGGTTTGCTCCTATGCTTGATCCACATGTTCTGGTGCTCTTGGTGCAGTGGAGTGAACTTTAATTCATGATGTTATCTTCAGCTGTGATAATGCTGATTCTGAAACATTTACGGAAGTCTACAAATTACCAATGCAATTAAAGAAATGCATAGTCTATAAGGTGTTCGTGATTGGAAGCTACTGGGTTTGACCTCTGAATCTCATAGTAATAATTTAAAAGTCCTGGGACTTCGAAGATGGGTTTCATCTTTGAGAACATAAAACTTCAATCTGATTTATTGGGCCTGCTAGATGCTGGGAGATATAGGACTTACAACTGTAGGTTCTTCAGAACCTCAGCTAGGAGTTCTGTGGAAGGTCATTGGCATGAATTGATGGGTATCTCTTAAGAGGAGTGAGTGTATCAACCTCCAGGTCTTGTCCTTGATAAGAGAGCTGAAATGACTGGCTTGTCACCATAATTGTGTAAATACTTTATTTGTTGAAAGTTGAGGTTTAGGTGATGTCTTCTGCCACGCTAACTGATATACTTGAAAAGATAAGTTTTAGAGACATGTCTTCAGGTCTGGTTATATGCTGCAAAGTTAAGTTGGTTTCTTTTTTTTCTAGCTGTAGTATGTGGTCTAGCAAAAGAGTATTTCTAAAGCTTGTCTACAAAAAAAAAAAATACAGCTATGGCAGAGCACTTACGTTGTATCTGTTACAAAGGCTAGTACGTTTGCATCTGAGAGTATATTCCTGTGGAATAACTCTTGTTATTCCCACTGGCTTCATCTTTGAGGCTCTCCTACCTGGCCCTTTCCTCCTGCCCTTAAGGCAGCTATCAGTTTTGCACACTTATGCTGGACATAGCAAAGTTTAGCCTTTTTCTCACTCCCTAGTCCTGGAGCGGAAGGGGGAAATGTAGAGAGGAAGAGCCCCTTCAGCTGCGCCCTCCTCATACAACCAATGTTTGCCTTCATGCAGTTCAGTTCGGGGGTCGTTCTGTGCTGGACCTTTTAATCCTTTCTAATAGCTTTATTGCTCATGCAAGAGATATGTGTAATAATATTAAGACTGTAGAGATGTTAGGTGTGCTAACTTTAGTTCCCATTACAGCTGATCAAATAGTCTTCAGATACTCTGGTTTTTGATAGTTGAGAAGGCCACTTATGTGTAATGTTTTGCACTGTAGCTGGAGTAACTGAGATGTACTTGTTCTTACTTGATATTAATTACTGTTCTCCAGGTATCCAGCTCACATTGAAGAAATTGATTATGAGGAAGGGAAAGTACTTATCCATTTCAAGCGCTGGAACCATAGATACGATGAATGGTTTTGCTGGGACAGTCCTTACTTGCGTCCCTTAGAGAAAATACAGTTAAGGAAAGAAGGATTACACGAGGAAGAAGGATGTGCAGTAAGTAGCAAATATAGAGCATTGGTGTGTGTACCAGTTTAATATGCACTTAGGTGAATTATGACCACTCAGATGTATTAAAGCATTTAATTGTTGCTGCGCTAGCTACCATATATAAGTTCTTTGACTTATATCTTAAATATTGGGAATCAAATCGTTTTGATTTAATTAAGTTAAATGTTTTATTATTTCTTAAATGCAAATACTATTAAATACTGTCTTTTAGGGATTTCATATAAATGATCAAGTATTGGCATGCTGGTCGGACTGTCGCTTTTATCCAGCCAAAGTTACTTCTGTTAACAAAGACGGTAAGGAGCCGCTCTTGCTTTTGTCATGCTTATTACTACTGCATTTTGAATTTCATTCCAAGCTTTTTGCTTAGGTGGAGAGAACACGGCAGACAAAATTCCTGTGAGAAATTTTTGAATCCATATTTTAGTCTATTAACTTTTTAAGCTAACCTTTTATATTTTTGCAAGATGCCTTCTTAGTCACAGATCTTTCTGCTGAGATGCACAAAAAGTGAAAACAGTAACGTGAATAAACTTTCAGAGGCATAGGCTAAATAAAATCAGCAGCCCTTTGTGCAGCAAACTGGAAATCAGGCTTTGTCTAGTAGTCCAAGACTGTGAGAGGAGTTCAACCAAACTGGCTTTAAGGAATCTACCTAGGAGCAAGGCCTTAATTTTGGAGCATATTTTCTTGTGCCATTTCCTTTAACTATTCATACTGTCCTCCAAAATGTAATTCTTTGATTTTAAAACCAAAACTGATTGTTTTTTTTTATTCTTCTTTCCCCTCTGCTAAGATTTTAATGTTCTGTTTCCTCTCTGTATGTTTTATTGATGTTGGTAGCTGGATAAGCACCTTCTTGAGAACTTGAGACCTCTGCCTGTTGCACAGGAAACTATGGAGCACATTTACAGTTGCGGGGCTTATGACAGATGGATATGCGCACAGCCCGGTGTCTGGAGGGATGCTCTGACCAAACAACCCAAAACACCTTTCCCCTAGCAGTGCATCCCTGAAACAGGCTGCCTGGAGCGGGAGCTGGCACCTCTGCTTTGAAGGTTATCATGGCTTAGCTACCACATAGACTCAGAGAATCCTTGAGGTTTGAAGGGACCTCTAGAGATCATCTAGTCCATCCTGCACACTCAGGGTCACCTAGAGCACGTGGCACAGGGCTGTGTCCAGGTGGGTTTTGAAGACCTCCAGACAAAGAGACTCCACAGCCTCCCTGGACAGCCTGTGCCAGGGCTCTGTCCCCCTCACTGTCAAGAAATTTTTCCTTAAGTTCCTGTGGAACTTTTGGTGCTTCAGTTTGTGGCCGTTTCCTCTAGTTCTATCAGTGGCCACCACTGAAAAGAGGCCGCTCCCTCCTCCTCACTGCCTCCTTTGAGGTATTTCTAGACACTGCTCAGGCCCCCTCTCAGCCTTCTCTTCTCCAGGCTGAACATGCCCAACTCTCTCAGCTTTACCACAGCTGACCTGATTTATTTGTGGCTATTTGGAAAAGCCTTTCACCATAGTTTCTATGCTCCCGTGAAAAGCCTAGACTCTTTAATCTGCAGAAGGCTCCTTGGTATGCTTCTATATCCTTGATGGTGATTTTTCTTTTGGCCATTATTAAGTGTGTAGTTACAATTCACATAGTTGCATTAAATCTCCCTTAATTTGCCTTGGCACGAGCTGGTGTGCTTTTGCTTTATGAAATTAGATACTAAATTTTTCTGCTGATCCAATTCAGTTATTTTTAAAGCTTTTTAGAAGAAATGGTTGAGATCTTGTGGAGAAAGAACCAGTAGAGTTTTTCTTCTCTTTCTCTGGAAGTAACCCCCGTTCCTCACCTCTGCTTCCTTTGCTGTGGCCATCACTGCTGACTGTTGGAATTATTCATTAGTTAGAACCTGCTGACTAAGTGCTTTGCTCTGTGCAGCACAGACTTGTGTGTTACGTCTCTGTTAAAGCTGGCTACCTGTTCTTTGAAAGCACCGTCTGAGCATTGTTGTAGCAGCCCATTTACTGTTTTCTGGTTTCAATTCATAGGAAAGACCTTTTTTTTTTTTTTCCTCCCTCCCCACATGTTGCTAAGTGAATATCTGTGCTTGAACTTACAGTGGCAGCAGTAATTGCTATAAGAATATATTTGGGGAAAGTGGTTTCTTTGCTGTTAAATTCAATGTAAAGATGCATACAGCTGTGTTAAAGCTTAAGAAATCTTCAATGAAATTCTTTACAAACAGAAAAATTTAAAAGTTTCCTCTTTTGAGTATCAGTAATTAACTGTGAAGGACAGTGCTTTGTCTAGAGCAGCTATAAAAGTTGTATGAGCAAGAAAATAAATCATTTGCAATTATCCCTCAGGTTATCGTAAGTATTTTGGGGCTTGGGCAGGAAAGTGTGTCTAAGGAGCAACTCTGACCTAAAATGTGTACCTTTATGTCTATAATAATTATAAATAAAACCTTTGTTATTCCTCCCTTATCTGGCCTGTAAAGAGAAATCTCTGCTGTTCAAGCCTTCCAATAAGGCTGATAAGGAAGCTGCTATTTAGGTCTGAATGTGCAGCTTCAGTAGTGCAACTGTAGCCAGTCGCTCTGTTAGGTAACTTCTGATCTTTAAATTGCTGTGCTTTGTTTTTCAAATTTTAGGTACCTATACTGTGAAATTTTATGATGGTGTAGTTCAGACTGTCAAAAACATTCATGTCAAAGCTTTTTCCAAAGACCAGGTAAGTAATGTGTTCGCGCTGCTGGCATGTTTTAAAGCAGGCAGCTCAAGTGACTAGGTTCGCTTAATTGCAGAAGTAGGAATCGAGTGTTTAATTATTTTACTGCTGACATGCAGTGTGTCTGAGGTGAAAGCCATTAAAATGAAAAGATGATGCAAATCATGGCATGACCCAGGAAGTTCTCAGTTTCATGGTCTCGTGAATGTACTCTTTGAAGTAAAATCAGTGGAAGATTCAGAGTGTGCACAGAGTCCGTACACTACGAGCAGGGGTAGGATATTGTAAAACACTGCAGTTGTTTTAGCTATTAACAATTAGTTTAAAATATATATCAAAAATTGAGTGGATGGAAACTATGAGATCAGCCTTTCCTAGAGGAACTAGTTGGTTATTTTGAGCCCTTCAAGGAAGTTGTCCAGTAATCCTTCAGTTTGCAACCTGGAGATAACAGTGCTGTTCTCTAGCTGTATTCTGTGCCAGTGATTTGGCTGCTTTGCTACCCTTATCTACAGTGACTTCAACCTCAGCTAGTGATGGAAGGTGAGCAGTTAAAAATAAGGAAGAAATGCTAGTTTGTGCGTGTTTGACAGTTTTTGTGCTTGGACGCGCAGGAACGGCTGACGGGTTTGGCTCTTCTGTGGCCTGGAGAACTTTCTAAACATTCAGTATTTGCTTTTGGACAACTTTCGTTACAGGAATGGTTTTAAGGTTCAGATCCTGCCAACACATTCCTGTGGTGTGTCTGTAGTCTGTGTTTTTTCAGGCATGATTTATTCTTGTGGAAAACTAAAAGCAAAAGTTTGAACACTGACGTGGACCTTCTTCCAAACAGAAAGAAGTCCCAACATTATTATTCTCAATAATAATGTATTATTGAAAAGTACAATTTAAATCTGCCACTGCCTTGAAGAGCCTGCCATTCCTTGGTGTTCTGCAGATTGTGTATCTGCCAAACTGTGAGGGGAAAACTGTTTCAGATTTACCCTAAAGTGATGTTTCAAATACTAATAATTTGACTAATAGACTAAGACTCACAAGGGAACTACCTGAAGACTTATCATGACCATGAGAAATACTCCTAGTCTATTAAATTAAGCAGTCTAAAGAAAGCAGGTCTTTTGCAGCTCAATCTGCAGGAGATAGGGGGGAAAAAATGGCACAATATTTGGTCTCCTTTAGAGAGTTTATGAACTTTCCATATGGCTTTGGTTATGTCTTTCCTTTTGAAAGGAATTTGAGTTTTCTTTTCAGTACAACCACTGGCTGGGAAATTTCTTTTAACTTGAGAAATTAGTTTTATTACCATGTTTTATTTTGCCCTTTGGCATGAAAACCATAATAGGAGAAATTATTTTTATTTGTTATCAAAGCTCATTAGGAAATTTTAAACAAGTCAGCCACTTGAGAATGCAGGACTCAGTTGCGAATGTAAGTAGTTTAAGGTATAGATTTAGATACAGCCTGATGTAGAAAAGACTGAAGTCATGAATACTTGTAGCTTTTTAAAATTTGTTTAAAAGCCTGCTTTTTAAAGCATAATAGAATAAGGCAGCCCTCTTCAGTGGCGGTGTTCCCCTGCTGTTGCAGAGAGGGAATGACAAGCTGCATCAGACAGTGATGGTGAAATGCTGACTGCCTGCGCAGCGTGAGTGTTTTTGTGCAAGGACGGCTTTGAAGAGCTCATCACATCAACAGATAACCCGGGCTTAGGGTGTTTACTGATCATTTTTTTGAGGAAGACTTGATTAAGATGTTTCAGATATGTTGTGATCTCTCCTGCTCTATTCACATAGGATTGTTCTGCAAGCAGCACAGTTGGTGCAATGTAATGTTTGAAGGTTTTTGGTTAATTTGTAAGTTCCCAAGTTTGACTGCTGTGGTAGTTTTTTTCTTTTAAAGAAAGAAAAAATTATTTCATGTCTATTCTCTGCTGAGTGTGGTTAAAATGATCTCGTGGGAGGTGGAGCAGATGTGCACGTTGACCATTTTATTGCCTCAATTTCTTGGGCCTTTGGCCTAGAAACTGCTGTCTTGCAGTGCATCAGTTTATGAATCCACATACAGATAGGAAGAGGCGAGATTGTACAGGAGCAGATGAGATGTCGTCTCAGAACTTGGTGCAACCTAAATCAACTGTTCCAGTTTCTTTACAAAGAGGTAGCCTTTCTAGTCCTGTGATCCTTGTCCAAAGTCTTCTCCGATTGTCTCCTTTAAGCCTGCTGTGCATAGCAGTACTATGGCTGAAAGGAGCTTGGTTGCCTAATAACTTGAAGCAATTAATGAGCAACAGGAAGAGGGAAGTTGGTTAAACTAAAGCCAATGTTAACACAAGGCCAAACATAGAGAAGAATAATCTAGACTCAAAATCTAAAGGAGGTTTCTGTTGGAGCGGGAGAGTCCTGAGACTGCAGTTGGGTCATTGAAGGGCGGGGGGGAACCTAAGCAGCCCTCACTGCACCATTCAAAAATGGATCTGACCAGCTAAGGAGAGCAATCCATGGCATTCCCTAGCAGAGAACTTGGATACAGGGCTGTTCTTCCTAATTTTGTGCCATTTAAAGAAATATGTGTGTATATATATATATATGATAAAACAATACATTTGAATGTAGTATCAGTAACTTGATGGGGAGTAAACCTAACTAAACCTAACTGTGAAGGCAACCTCATAATTCTTCCTCAGATTTACAGTTTAAGTATTTCTTTCGACTTCTTCGGTGTCTCACTGTGTACCTGGAGTTTTATTAATGGTAGTGGTGACTAATTCCTTCTTAGACAAAGGTGTGTGAAGGATTGAAATTTTCATTATATTGGACATAAAGTTAGAATGTGTAACTTGATTAGGAATTTGAGTAACTCTGCTGCCTCAAAATTGTGTCACATGGCTCCCTAGTATTTATGTTATCCTGTTAAACCCCTATGTGTCTGCTCTGTAGGTCTTCACAACTGAGCTGCCTCCAAGCTCTAATGTGCTGGTCGCTATAGAAGGGCATGTGCTTTTCTTTCTTTGAAAACTGGTCGAAAAAAAAGAAAAGGGGGAGGAGGTGGGGCAAAAGGGAGGACCTCCAGGTTGCAAGAAGTTAGTTTTCATGTCACACTCTCTTCCTTCTAGACTATTGTGGGTAATGCTAAGCCTAAAGAAAGAGGTAATGAAATTCCGTCATCTCCTGAAAAGCGGGAGAAATTTAAAGAACAGAGGAAAGCAACAGATAATGCAAAGAAAAACAAGGATGAAAAGACATTAAAGACTGAGAAAAGGGTTAAGCAACCTGACAAAGAGGGAAAATTGATCGTCATCTCAGAAAAAGGCAAGGGCTCAGAGAAGAATATAGCTAAGAATGGAAAAGAAGATAAAGAGAATATATCAGAGAATGATATGGAATATTCAGTAGACACACAAGTTGAGAAGAAGCCTGAGAACGACAATGTAAAGAGTCCACAGGAAAATGTAAAAGAAACTAAACGAAAACGTGGAAGGCCACCAATAACTCCTCCAACAGGTATGTAGCTGCACATAAGTTGCTCAGACCATACTGTCTAAGTCCTTATGAACTTACATAAGAGAATGAAGTGTTTTGCTGTTCTGTTTGCAGGCTCTGAGTCTCTAGAAGTTTAGACTTTTTCTTATCTCACCTTTACTCAAGCTTCAAGACAGTTGAGAGCATACTTGTTCTTCAGATTTAAAGGTTTTTAATGGTCTGCTCAGAGATCGGTTTTAGGCAAATAATCTTCATGAATAACTGTAAAATGTGCTGGCAACAGGATTCAGTTCTGTTGTGTGGACATGGGGGAGCCAGGTTAAACTAGGGGTGGAGACGCTTCTTATAAAGGAATAAATAATGACACTTAGGAACTTATTTTAGTAGTTTTCCAGTTTCAGATGCAGTCAACTTTCTGTTCTCTATGTGAATATACAGAGCAGAGTTCTCAGAGGCTGCAGCCCATAACTTTAGAGCTAAGACGTCGGAAAGTACCTAAAGGAGGTGAAGTTCCAGCGAAGCGTCCCAGGATTGATAAAAATTTGTGTGAGTATTTTTGGTGTTGAGCTATCACAGTAACTGTTCAAATAAGTTTCAGAAGCTTAAGAGGATTTTTTTTTTTTTAAAGAAAGTCTTAATATTTACCATGGAATGTGTTACAAAAATGGTTCAAAGGCAGCGCCCGCTTTTTTTCAACGGGCCATTTGTTTATAGCTGAAGGCTTTTACCAGTTTCTGAAAGTTGGGTTGGATAGAGGGACCCTGCATGGGCTGACAGTTTTCATGCAGAAATTTACAGAGTTTAAGGGCAGGAGTGGTTATATTCTGTCCAATATTTAGACAATCAAAAAATCCTTTTTCTAAGAAACTGTGGGTGTTTTTTTTCCTTATTATTCCATCTACCACATTGCTTAAAAAGGCAAACAGAAAGCATTCTCATTTTTTAATAGTATATATTCATGTCACTGCAGTCTGATAGCTACTGCTTCGTCTTAATATACTGTATAATGATGCTGAGAAACTTCAGAGTGTTGATCAAGAAATAAAATTATCGTCTATGGTACTATCGCAGACAGAGATGAGGAAGAGCTAAAGAGATTTATATTCCAGAGGACCAGAAAATATAAAAATTGCAGTTCATGTATTACCCAGCATAGTCGGGTCAGGGTTGTTTGTTTCTGAGCTGTCTGTTTTAGCATCTCATATCAAACATGTCCCTGGGACGGTTGCTGTGGAAAGCGACGCTTTATCTGTAAGACATCTGTATTCACACTTTATCTGTAACTCACAGCACGTTTGAAACATTAAGAAACCTGTATCAAAATATTTAGGCCTCATTTTTGTGCATATATCTATTTGTGAATGTGAGCGTAGCTTTTTCAGAAGCCTAGTTAGGAGAACTGTTTAACTTCTGCTGTTAAACTCAGTCATTAAAACAGCTTCAAGCTGTTACTGTGCGAGAAGTCTTTCGAATGTGCATGTGAGCTACCTAGTATCTCAGATTTCTGTTTTTTAGCTCAGGAAAAATTGAAAAACTCTTCAGATAATCATGAGAGAGACCAGATTAGAAGGCGATCTTCAAGACTCTCATCTGGTGTTGGCCACGAGATTGAAAATACAGATCACAACACAACAACTTCAACAGAAATTCAGACTGTGAAAGATACAGTATCTAACCCAAAGGAACTTGAGAAGGGTAAGTAGCTTCCTGGTTATGTCCTGAACATAAAATGGTAAAGAAGGCTTTTAGTTGTTACAAACACTGTATTTTCACTTGCATAACCTCCAGATTATATATCTGCAATTAAAACAAACCTGATTTCAGCAGCAGTGCAGGGTAAACCCCAGGAAAGCTTATTTTGATCTCTGCTCCACTGATTGCCCTTCCTCTGCTTTTGATTTCACCTCTGTCCGTAACACTAGCATTTCCCCCATGTAGTAGGGAGCCCATAACTAGCTGCGTCCTTGGCTGCCGGACAAGGGAGAGCCCTGCTGGTTTCCTGAGGACTTAAAGAAACTGAGTTAAAGAGATTGTAGGTTATGCTTGGGAAAATTATGTAATAGATGTTTATTTTTTTATATTCTGTATTCTTTTATGTCCTTTTGTGTTGGGAAGTAGTTTAAAAGTTAAATTACAGTTTAATCAACTCATTGAACACTAAGACAAACACAAGGGCTCTCTTTTTCTGTACTAGGCAGCGTGGAAGTAGCATCCACCTCCTTGTCATTGCCTTTTCCTCACAGGAGAATCTCTGATAATCGTTTGAGTAGACCTAGCCTATATCAGGCTGTGCTGAACTAGCAGCCTCTGCGAGTTTAAGCAGTTGAAAATTTAGAAGGCTGCTACAGGTACCTATAGTGTGGGGGTTTTGTTTGATTTTTTTTTTTTTAAAGCTTTATGCTAATATAACAGCAAATAATCTGACTGTAAATGTGTATTTGTCTCTCCTGTCATGTGATGGATGCACATGTTGGTATTTTGGTATGTGCTTTGGTGTACCTTTTATTCATTCAATTTTTTTCCTCCCTTCTAGTTGAGTTAGGAATTCCTGTTGAAGCTGACCAAAATTTCTGTGAGGAAGCATCTTCTGGAGATGCATTACATCCTGCAGTTCTCGGGGTGGATGCTAGCCTAGAAGAAGAAAAAGTTGAAGATTCTGAGCCTTCCTCTGCTGCTGACAGACCTGAGGATCCTCCTGCTGCTACAGGTTCAAATTTTGATTTCATATTTAGTGTAGATGCTTTGTTAAGGCAGCTGATACCAGGTACTTCATGATTTAACAGTATAATTAAGAAACATTCTTCTAATGGTAACTGAGGGGAAAAATGCTTATGACCCCTGAAACACTCAGCTTTGCTGTTATGTGTGGGTTTTGGACTTGACAGCAAGCCTCCAAAAGGTGGAAATTATAATCTTTAAATGAAGTTGTGTAGTACTTTTAATAAGAGGTAAAATAAATATAAATATTTGTTTTCGGGATATAATTTAACACTTGCAATTCTGATTTAGGTCAGACTAAAGTCTTAAAAGATCTGCTTCTTTTGTAACTTTGCTTGTGCTGTGGAAAGATGGTAGCATTAGTATTATTTGGGAGTCCTGATTGTGCATTTCTGTATCCTGATGTTCTGGCTATTGTCAAACTTGAGCCCTAGAATATTTGGTGTATTTGGTGCAAATTTATGGAATAACTGAAACGTTCCAGTGTCTGCCCGAATGCACGTTTTCTCTTAGACTGGGGAGTGTACATGCCATACTTTTTCAAATTAAAGTTTCATACACAAAGAGCAGACTAAATCTAAATATAATGTTGCTCTGAGATTATTCCTTAAAAATTTTAATATCCCCAGTTAATTGAGGAAACTTGTGCTGATAATTACCTAATTATTGTTCAATCAAGAAAGCTTCAAGTTATTTGGGGCAGAGCAGTTGGAGGGATTTCTAGTCCAGCATCACTGGAGAAACCCGCACGCGCCGGGTGTGCTCTGCTTGTTGGTTCTGCAGTCCCGCGTGTCCCTTTTCCACCCCGCAGTGTAACTCTCTTGGGCCAGGGTCTTCGTGCAGCTGATAACGTTTGCATGTGCATGGGTAGTGCAGGAAGGAGTTACCTCTTCCTTCTGTTTGCTTGGGTTGACATACAAATAGACCTTTAGCAGGCTGCAAGAGCTTTTTCTTGTCAGGTTGTTTTTGTCCCTGTCTGCATGGAAAGTGCATGTGTCGGTGTTTTGTTTTTTTGTGAATGGGTTGTAGCTCCTCTTAGTTAAAGAAAGCAGAAGCTCTGGTTGTCTGGTGCAGCTGAACAGCACATTTGAGTAATGTGAGCACTGGGGCAGAGCCTGCGTGATGCCCAGGAGCTGCTGCTACTCCCCATAGCAGCTCTGAGTGCAGGAGGAACTGAGAGCCTCTCCACAGGGCTTTGAAGCCAAGCAAGGGTGGAAAAAGTCCTGCTCCTTCCCGTGGCTGTAGATGCTCCTTTCCCTGTCGTAGCTGGCAGGACCGGCTTGCTGTCCAACACCTGAAACAACTGGAATTGCCCTGCAGTTGAAAGTTTAGACTGAAGCTTTTCCTGGGTAGCTGTGGTAAATCCTCACTTCACTTGAGCATGTAGGAGTTGCTGCAGGTGCCAACATCGCTCCAAACAGATGCAGCAACTGAGTTATTGTGGGGCGCAGCTGGCTGCATGTGGGGTTCATGCCTTGGAGGTGGTCATTTTGATAGTTATTGCAGGTCGTAGCTATTTTTAAAAGACAGTTTGTATTATTTCACTAAAAAGACTTGCTTTTTATTCTCTCAAATACTATTAAAAAAAAAAAGTATGCCAAAGCTTTCCACTGCAAAAGATACTGTCCTTTGGAGGTGCTTTGTGTAGGAAAACAATATGTTGAAATGCTTTTTAACTTCGGGGATCTGATATGACAAAGGTGTTGCATTTTATAAGGTGTGTGCAGATTTTCATTTAGAAGTGTAGCACACTTAAGGCTACAGGCAACAGGCTTGTTCTTCGGTTCATTTTGTGTAACCCCTGAGGATACTCCTGGAATTGTAACTTGACAAACCACAGCCTAATTTTCTGGGAAGTTGGAGTGTAAATCTTGGCTTTCTGGAAGAACATATGGTGTTAAGAGTATGGAAGAGCACTCTGAATAGTTATAGATATTCTTCAAAACTGTTGCTCTGTTAATATAGTATTAATAAGGCATCTGCTACCAATGTTTTTGTGTAATAGTATAGTAGTCACTGAATATTCTCAAAATAAAGAATATTTTACTTGGTACCATAACAAATACCTCTGTTTTGAGATTAATGGTGTAAAAAAAGACCCTCTTGGAAGAAGGGCCTTTGTGTTGTAGCTTAAGTGTAGGATGTCAGATGTCTTAAATGATTCCCCAGTGTCCTCATTTCACATTTTGCATATGATTTAACATTAATGCATATTTTGCATATGATTTAAACTTGTCCTGGTATCCGTATAGAGAGAGGGTGCAGGCGTAGCTGTGCAGTCACCTCAGAGATGCTTCTTCCCTTTTTATATGTTTTGGAATCTGGGTTTGTAATAACTATAAAAAAAAAGCATAGACCAAACAGACTTACCTCTGGTTTGCCTTATAAAAGTGTCTTTCCTCTCTGCGTTTATTGCTGGTTGGGAAAGCTCTTGCCTTTACAGGAAACGTTCTGGTGTTCACTGGCAGATACATGAAATGAAGCTAAACGAAAGCAGCAGCCGGTTTTGTTCCTTGCCTTGCTTGCTGCTGTTCGTTGTGGGGTCCAGAGGCGCTGTATGTGGGTTTTGTGCTCCTGAACCCCGGCAGGTGCTGGGCTGAGCTGCTTTTCAGCACAGGGAGTGGGGATCGTGTGCGTCTGGCAGCGTGCAGGCTGCTCTTGCATGAGGTGGGTGCTGGGATGATGCTGGTGCCCGGAGCTCAGGGAAACACGAGCCCTGCGGATGCCTCTTGCCTTCGCGGCCGCTTCTCTCCGACTGTTTTTCTTCTAACAAATATGCTGCTGAGCATTTGTAATTGGGCTTAAATTGGTGAGAATCCTGGTTGAATATTTAACAACTATAAAAGTGTAATTCCCATGGGTGTGATCTGTGGGCTAGGGAGATCTGCTGAGCTCGCCAAATGGGACCCGAGGAGTGGAGATGCAGCGACACGACGTTTGGTTTGGGGCCCAAAGCCTGCGGGCCTTGGCGTCCGCGCTGCTGCCGGCACGAGGTGCAGGAAAGGTAGTTCCCAGACACGAGCTGCCCCTGAGCACTGGCCTGCAGCTCTGCACTCTGCTCTTGTCTGGAAATGGCTTTTGGGTGTTGGATTTGTTGTCATTTAATTAGTCGTCTCATTTGTCATAAAAATGCCAGCTGTGTAATGTCATATCCAGATAGGGAAGCTAAGTGCCTTTAATTGGAAAAACACCTGAAGATTGTGCAATAAGAATTGCAGAGGGTTTTTCTTGAATGTGGCCTGAAATCAAAGTGTAAAATCTACTGTAGTTAACATTTAAAAATGATTAATGTGTGATTTTATTGACCCAGGAATCTACAGTCCCTCCATACTGTCAGAGATGGATTTCCCATAGTTAAAAGTAGATTTGTGTTTTCCTGCAGTTACTTTTGCCTTACCCAGCAGATCCTGTTTTCATGTTCTAGAGCAGACAACCCGCCTGCTTAGGCAATCGTAATACAGGCAAAATAAAGTACAAAGATGGAAGTGAAAGATGATTTTTCATATTTAGAATGGTACAGTAGTGTGAGGGCTTTTTTTTTCTCCCTCCCCCTCATAGACTTTAATCTCTCAATTAATGGGACTTCATTTTCTTTCCATGGGAGAGTATTACAAAGTGTAATAGAATAAATAACCTTATTTTTCTTCAGCATGTGGCATGAGCGAGTGAAACCTGACACTGCTAGATTTAACAAGCTTGATATCTAGGAAGAACATTATTTATAGCACTTTAAAATCAGAAAACCAAACGCAATCTCTCAAAATGTCTTCCGCAGTCTGTTGTTGTTGGGTTTGGGGCTTGCATGTGCTGTTACAAGCTGTTCTAATTTGGAGGGTTTATGTGCTTGCTGTGTTACAAAGCGTATATGTACCGGTGTTTTGAAAGGACAACGTAGTGTTGCTTGATGAAACCTAAATTCCTTTTTAAAATGTCCAAATCAAGTAATGGTATTTACCTGAAGGTAAAAATCGCGTACTGCGGTACCTTGGCTCCCTGTGGCTGGGGACAAGAACTGCTGTGCGGATGGAGCTGAAGCGGAGGCAGCAGCTTGCGGCCAGCCTGTGAGCGCGGGCCGAGGAGGCCGCCGCAGCTGCCCCGCGCTCGCTTTGCCCTCGCACCCCGCTTGGGTTTAACGGGAACTGCCTTTGCTCTCCACGGACACACCACGGAGCCGGTAGTTCTGCCGTCGGCAGCTTGAGGGTGTTGAACGGGTGCCTGGGGCCTGGTCGGGCATTCGTTTGCCTTGCGCTGACCATGCGCTTTCCTCCTTTCTTCCCTCGCGGCTTTGGCTTTCGCTTAAGCAGAAGCAGAAGACGCTTGGAGCCTGTCTGAGGGACCCGCTGTGCCTCCCGTGCCTGCGCGGGCCGGCTCCGGTGGGGGCTGCGCTCCGGGAGGCGCGATCCGACGGCTGCGTGCCGGCGCGGGCCGCGTGCTGGCGGGTGTGCGCGATGTGGGGGCCGCGTTCCCCAGCTCGGAGAACGTCCCGCCGCTCTGCCGGCGGGAAGGGTCGGCGTGGAGGACGTCCCGGATCCTCGCGGCCGCGGCGCCTCCTGAGCGCGCCCAGGTCTGCGCAGCGGCACGGGCGCTGCCGCGCGTCCTGCGTGCCCCAGGTTTGCTTGGTTATGGGTTTAGAGCTGGCCCACGCAGGAAATGGCGAGGAGAATGGGTGGAATTAGTGTCCCGAGTGCTTCTTGCAATGCCGAATAATGATTCGGGTGCCAGGGTTGCAGCTTGGAGCAGCTGTGGCTATTGAAAACCGGGGGATCTTTCTTTGTCAGTAGTTGTAGTTCTGTAGTTCTGTACCAAGCACCTATATTGCTTTTAGTTCGGTGGATTTTGGATGCAGTGAAGATGCTTGCACATTGTTCCTAGCTAAAGTAACTTGTAACTTGAGGAGATCAGTTAGGCCAGATGTTTTTGATTTCACAGCTTAAGTCTTGAAATACTGAGGTTTTGGACCAAGAAAGCAATTTTGTTACTAATGGGGTGAATAGCAACATTTGGTGAGCTGAAAAATAACAATTAAAAGTTCAGATGAGAGAAATCCAAAGAAAGAGGGAGTTGATGAGGAAGTGATCCAAAGTATAAGGCATAAGGAGTGTCAGCTGGGCTGGCTACAAGGATGCGTTTCAGACGTGAAGCGTGTGGGAATGGGTGCGTTCCTGAGCAAGTCCCGGCTCCAAAATGGGTCTCAGGCTGCAGAGACAGACTCTGCTGAACAGGCAGCATTAGGCCCCGAGGACCGACTTCATGTTTCTTGGAGTAGATGGAAATGTCACGCAGGAGCCTTCGTCACTGCGGTCCGGGACAGTGCAGTTGCTTCCAGAATACATATTGTTATTACTTTTTATTTAAGTTTGCAATTCAAGCAAAACAGCAACAAAGAAGACTGAAAGTATGGATGGAAGCATTGCAGAATGCATACTGCAGTGAGAGAATACATCAGTTGAATAAGAGATGAAGGAATAAGTTGGGCATCTGTAAATACTTCTGCAGAGAGCGGCAAATGCAGCGCGTAACAAGATCTGGTGGCTTGAAACCTTCGTTTGGGCAAGGAGGAGAGCACAGAGAATGAAGCGCCCTGCAGGGGCCAGCAGGGTGAGGCTGCGATTCCGCAGGCCGCAAGTTTCTGTGCCCCGAGAAACAACTGCAGTAGGAATAAAATGAAAGAAACATTTCAAAAATAAAAAACATTACTCCAATTGCAGCCATCTCTTGGGAATTGAGTCTGCTAAATTGTGTCACGTTGCTCTTAGATGCCTTATCACAAAGGACGAAAGCTGTGGGTTGCACAGAGCAATGAAGAAGCGAGGTTACTGATGGGGAAGAACGGACCTTGGAGTGAAAACTAAAGGAGCAGCGGCTGTTGACCTCGAGCCTGCGTGGTCAGCGCTAGCTTAGTTGTGTGCTGGATGAGCATTTTGAATTTTGGCCGCTTTCAGGTTTGGCTAACTTAAGCTTTGGTGTTTCCTGGAGACGCAGCAGATGGCAGCTCTGTCAGCAGCTTGCTGTGTGTTCAGAGGGAGCCTGGTACACGTAGGCAGCTTGTCCAGCTCGCCCTCTGAAAGGCAGAGGGCCTGAACGCCAGAGGCTGGGTCCTAATGAAGCCAAAACTATCTCAGTAGTTGTTGCTGTGTTTAGTGAACAAAAACAGTGAGTTCTGCGCTTTAAATGCCCGTGTAACTGTTTGGCCCAGGCCGTTTGCGGGGCAGAGGAGGCTCGTGGGAGGCCGTGGAGGCTCGTGGGAGGCCTCGGGTGCAGCTCTCTGCACCTTCCTGGCCCCAGGGAGTCGTGTCCTGGCGTCGTGTTACTGCAGGAGGGAATCATCTCCGTGTGCTGGCAATGGGAACGACTCCGTCCCTGCTCTGAACCTTCTGCCATTGTGTTTCCCTGCTCTGCCCTGAATCATTTCTTTTGCCTGTTGCAGTCAGTTTTCCTGTTCTTTCCTTCCCCTTTTCCCCCAGGTCTCTGCTCCTTTTGTGTTTCTAAGCTCTAGCTGATCCTGATCCTCTAGCTGATCCTGATCCTTCTAAGCTGGTCAGTTAGAAGCTATTCCCTGTATCTCCTCACGGATTGTCCATCCCAATGGAAGGCAAGTGCTCTAAGCTTGGATACAGACCTAACAGGGTCTCCTCCTAACAGGTGTATAGTCATTTCCCTTATCTTCGTAAGACTTGTACAAACCTTCAAACCCTCCTGCCCCTTTTTTGCTGCAGATGAAGGCGGTTTTTCCATTGTCCTATCACTACTAAATTGAAGCAAATTCCCTTTAGTTGTCCGAGTTCTGTATTGTGGCATTAAACGTGAGCACTCTGTGTGCCCCCGCAGGCCGCTCGTTGGTCTTGTCCCTTGCAGCCGCCGGGCACGACCGTGCGGAGCCGGCGGCTCGGCGGCCGCGGGGCAGCGCGGGAGCCGGGCGGCCGTGGGGCGGCGCGGGAGCCGGGCGGCTGCAGGGCAGCCACGGGAGCCAGGCGCACACGGCCTCCTACCCGGTGCGGCGCCACCCGCGCCTCCTGTGGCTCCCGCTCCCCATGAGACCCCCAGGCAGCACATTCCCCCACGGGGCAGCGCCTTCTCCCCCAGGTTGACACCTTCTGTTTTACGTTCTTTTTCATCAGGCTTTAACTGGGGATCGTGCTTTGCCCAGCCCGGCGTGCGGGATTACAGCCCCTGAATGCTGTGCCATAGGGCAGCTTCGCTGTTGCCCCCTCAATGACTGAGTCTTGTTTCTTTTACATAACATACTAGTTAAATCTGAATATAGGTTGCATGCAGTTTGCTAGGATGCTTTACCTCTCTGACATAACCTTTCTATATGCAGCTCAATAGAATTTACCAATTTTGTTGCTATACCCTAAAAATTTCTCAACAAGCTGTCCTGTGTTCTTCTACCAGACTTATCTTGGCACTATCTTCAATTCTCACTTTTACTTATTCCTATGTGTATAAAGTTGCAGGAAATCTTTACTGCAGTTGTTTGAAATGTTTTTGGGTCCTTTTGTGCTCCTCGTTTTCAGTTACTCCTAATTAATGTCTAATTGTATTTAACACTCTATGTACTTCTGGTTTTGCCTCAGTGTTGCTAAGGCTGCTCTTTTCATTAAATGCATCCTCTTTCTTAACCTCCTGAGTTTGGTAGTACTTAAAAAACTGGAAATATGCTAGCTTTAGCAGAGCAAATAAAAAGATTGGAGCTTTTCGTATGATCCCATTTTCCTTTGTTTGGCAATTTATGTTGGCGAGGAGGGAAAGCCATGTGTGTAGTAGTGATGGATAATTGTGTGGATCTCTTTAACTGGGATATGTCCCTGTTCTCCAATTTATGTATCTCCGCAGATGCGTCTGATAAAGATACTGGTAACAGGAACATCTGATTTACTCCTAGATCAAAATGGTTCTTTTGTGTTTTTCTTAGTAAAAACATGAGTAAAAATTTTGGGAATGCTGGATGAAGGAATGGGAATGTACCAGGACAAGCTTGGGTATCTTGCTGCCATGCTCAGAAGTGCTCTAAAAGCAGTGCCTTAAATTTGTTCGTTTTGAGTCTGAAGATTTTTTTGTGTGCCATTTTTGCTGAGAAACTACCTAATTACAAAATCTCTCCCATGAGACTGAACAGTTGCAAGTAGTTTGCCTTAATTTTGTTCTTTTGTTGCTGCTGGAACATTGCAGTTGACTTTAAATTTTACTTGGAAGAGGTACTCCTGCCATATTTGTGTAATATTCCCATATTCTTGAAGAAATCAGCCTCTTGTGCGAGGATAGGGCACCCAGAAAGCAGATAAGGTAGTTACAAGTACAGAAGCAAGAGGGGTGTTTTTGGAAACTGTGCTCACCAAAGAAGTAGGTAGTTAAAAATACTGAACAGAATGTGATCTTCAGGGAGTGTTCAGACTGTCCCATCTTTGTGTAAATCACGCTGTGGGTAGCGTGGCAGGTGGTCCCGCTCAGTGTTGCCCAAGGAGCTTAATGAACAAAAATTTGACAGTAACTCGTTCGTACGAAACACACCAAGAAACGCGGACATCTTGGCAAGACTTGTAGTAATGTACGTAGGACAAGCTTAGTTTTCCAGTACCTGAGCTATTTACCTTAAAGGCAGATATGTACCATTAGAATTTTATTTTTAGTAGTTTGTAGTTAACGTAGCTTTTGTAGTTAACTTAGGTTTGAATACATGTCTCTTGTTTTTTCTTTTTTTTTTTTTAGTTTAGGTAACAGTTTGATAAATATAGCAAATGCATGGGGGAAATTATCTGTTTTGTTCCTACAGTAACAAAACCTTTTAGGAGAGCACATTTTCTTGCATCAAAAGCTGCAGCTGTTGATCAAGATCACAAGTTTAGATGCAAGTTCTTGGACTGTTTAAAATCCTTCCGCAAAGCCAAGTTATTGCATTATCACATGAAATATTTTCATGGAGTGGACAAGGCTGCAGAATCACGGCAGAACCCAGTAAAAAGAAATATTCAAACTAGAAGTTCTTTGGCTTCTGAAAGAGCTAATCAAGAGAGGTCTAAAAGAGGACGGACTACAGCCGGTTCAATGTGTAAGTATTTTGAGTATTTTGCTCATCTGTTCTCTCTCTCTCTCTCTCTCTCTCTCTCTCTCTCTCTCTCTCTCTCTCTGTCTCTCTCTCTCTCTCTCTCTCTCTCTCTCCTCTTTTTTTTTTCTTTTTTCATCAGTAGGCAGAAGGAGCAGCAGTCACTCACTTTCTTCCATTGCATGTCAGGCCAAAGGAGTCTCTTTAGGACTCCGTCTTCTGCATTTCATCTGTTTTCAACAGTTCTTTATTTTAGAGAAGGAGAAACATAATGATATTTTTACACACATTTTAGAAAAGGAAAAATTTAAGAGGTTCTTTCCCTTAGCTTATATACTCTTGTAGAACCCAAATATTAAACCTTTATTCCTTTTTCAAAATTACATAATTCACTGAGCTTCTGACCTTTGATTTTTGCTTGGCAAGTGCCTAACTAGTATAGTTAGTACAGAAAAAAGGACAGAGCAACTCAATTTACGAATTTACGTTTTATTTCTTTCTTGATCTTCACATTGCATGGTCTGACTTCATGATAATATTCATCTAGAAAGCTGGTGCTGATTTCTCCAGTATTTACAGCTCTTGCTGCTGGACCTCCCATGCAGCAGTAGCAATTTGTTGCAGGATCCTCATGGAACTAGTGAGTAGTGGAAACAAAATAATCTCAGTGGTTTAAAAAAAAGAAGAAAACTCTTATGTTTATAACTGCTTTGCAGCGTTGAGAATCATCTTGGTCAACTCCTGCTTCTCTGTTTGGCCCTCTGAAGTGCCTGTTTTCTTCGTCTTGCATAACCTCCAGGTGACGGTCTGGGCTTACCTGTGAACGAAGCATTGCTGCTGACAACTCGAATCAGTGCTTTGCTCCTGGCAACTTGTTTCTTTTCATGCTGCAGTTCCATATGAATTGTGGCATCTTTTTTTGTCTTCTAGTTGAGACCATTTTACAAAATCTGACTGCTGCTTTTCTGAAATCCTTTTACCTGCACACGCTGCTTAATGCCTTTGCATTTGGTCTTTCATTAATATTCTCTGTAGATACTTAGACTCTTAGCAATCTCACAGCTCATTCGCTGAGCCGTAGGTCACTAGAGCACAACATGCCTGGCCTAACTTTGCTTCCTGTCTTATCTGTCCTTTCTGACATGTCCAACGAATCCTTTGTTCATTTGAGATGCTACTGCCCTTTTCTAATAGATGGACTAAATTGATATCCTATTACTGCATGTAAACCTCTCTATACCAGCTGCTTGAGTAACTCCAAGTCATGCCAAAGCACTGTTCAGTTAAGCAGAAGCCTGTTTTCTTTGTGTGCTGGGGTGTGCCAGCTTGTGTGCAGCCCACTTTGCGTGCAGCTTTAACAAAGCTGAAATGCTGCCTAGGGCAGCTCGACGAAGAGCGGCTCATGGCGCTGCACAGTGATCAAATGGGCTGCCTGCCCACCACGGGCTTCTCCTTAGCACATCTCTGGTCTGCTTTCTGCGACACTGCTTCATTACTCCAGTTAGAGGATTTATTTTGCTGTGATGGTCTCGCGTGTTCAGAGCAGTGGTTCAAGCTCCTGGCCCTCACGCCTGCCCTTTCCCCCAGCTCCGCAGCGCTGGTTTGGCATCGTCGCCTTGGCCAGGACCGGTGCTTCCTTGGACGCTTCCCTCCCACCGCCTTCCTTCCCCACTCCGTGTGGGGTCACTTTTAACCCGAACTGTTCTGGTGCTGCCCTTGTCTGCAAGTAGCTTTCAGCACAACCAAGGGGCGAAGGGGTGAATGGGGGTGCAGGAGGTAGAACATCGGGGCTGCAAGTCACTTTCTTGGCTGAGCCTGCTGCTGCAGAGCTGCCACCAGCTTTGCGTTGAGAGGAAAAGCTAATGTCACTGTAACACTGCCCATCATACAGCTCTGTCGTTAAAGCCATCTGTTCTTTAACTCAGTGTGCTCTTCATTATTCTAATTTTTGCTGGACTGGTACCACAACTGATGTAGAAAAGTGTGTGCTGCCTCCTTGGGCTTGTGCTTTTACTTTGACTTTACATACTGTTGCATTTGGGGTTTTGTTTTCCTGTCCTTTCTCAAGGTTCTCTTATGTTCCTAATTACATACCTAGGAAGGTAACCTGTAAGCAAGGTTCTGATTATGCCCACTGAACATTTTTGTTATCTTTTTGAAAAGGTATTTCAGGTTGTGCTGCTTAATGAGGATACAGGCTTTCAAATATATAATTAAACATGGTACATGGTGGGTTTACTCATATTTGCAATGGGTTTTGTGAGTCTAATGGGGAAAAAAAAAGTCCTGATCAACTTGTCCTTCAAGTTTAAATGAACTTATTAAAAGCATTATATGTTTTTATGCAGGTGTCTTGAAAAAAATTTTGCTACAAGGTACATCTTAGTGCTTAAGTTAGCAAAAACTTCCAACTGAGAAAAGACAAAAAATGAGTCTTTTTTTTTTTTTTTTGCCATGAACTTGGAGATGCTCTGGCTTTAGATTCACAAGATTCACAATCACAAGATTATTTCCGAGTTTTAGAATTCTTTACTGCTTCTTCTAGATTAAATTTTAAAAAGTGTGTGTGTGGGGGGGAAACTATTGACTAAATCTAATGTGAAACTGCCTAGTTTTCCTTACGTTGCAGGAAATTATGCAATACTCCATTTGAAACACTTTATTCTTTCTTTCCTGATTAAAGTTCTGACAAACTGAAAAGAAGGTAGATGTATCTGTTCTTCATTGACTATGCCGTGACAGGTGAGAAAGAACAGAAATCAAGGATAGTTGCCCTGCGCTCGAATGGAGACTGAAGATGCGGTATCTGAACGGGGGCGAGTTTTGCCGCTTGGTATTGTCCTCAAAACCTTGAGCTGCCAAAGTTAATTTGGAACCAGTTTGCCCTGTCTTGCCCCATGTTTTGCCCCACGTTCCCAAACTTGTTAGGAAGTACTTAGGACTTAGCGTTCATCTGTCGTGTACCGTGGGAAGACCTTTTGGCTCAGTATGAACTGAGAAGTGTTCTGTAGACTGATCTTACATGTCCTGAGGCGGGCTCAGAATGTGGACGCCCTCTTTAAAAACAACCAGCCTCCCTTCGTAGCCCTCTGGATAATCCTTCCTGCAGGAACCCAAGTTAGTCCTCTTGATAAAGTGGTATCTGCTGGAGGAATGTTATCTGAGTGTGAAAAATCTCTACAGAGAAATCATGCTGGTCAAGTCTTGAAGCTCATTTGAAGTGAAAAATTACCTGTGCAAAGTCCTTTAATCTGCTAAAATATGATACTTCTTTCATCTTTCTACTGGTTCAGAGATTTTAGAAATTATCTTCCAAACCTCCCTGAGGTGGATGTATGATAACTACTTCAGACAAGGAGATGATGTTTGTCCTCAACCAGTGCCGCCTTTTAGAGCCGTCCTTTTGTTTGCATTGATTATAGGCTTCCGATTGAGAGTATTCCTGGGATGTGCGAGAATGAACGTCTGCTTCCGGGAACTTGCACAGCAATGTAACTTGGTAAAGTTGCTTCCATGCCATGATGTAGGAGGAAAGGAGAAATTAAACTTGGATCCAGCTTATATTTTGTTTTCCATATGGATTTGCTTTGTCCTACAAGGTCTTTAAGAAGACAGGCTAAGCCTAACCTGAAGATTTGACTTTCCAGCCCTGGTTATAACACTGGTTACGTGTTTGCCTTTTTTCTCAGAGACAGTCTTGCAAAGCAGTTGATCTACTGCATGAAGTTAGGTTACTGGAGTAATCTAAATGATTATGTTCCCTTGTGATAACATTCCTTCCTTTTTTTTTCCAGGCAGCTGAAGTTCTTCTAAGGCAATGCGTGCTTCCAGAGAACGCCTTCAAACAGAACTCCATTTTCAATCATTTCATTGAACTTATTTTCCTAGTTTACAAGTACATAAAATGGCTTTCTGGGCTTAAAATATTGTAAGGGGAGAAAAACAGCCTATGAAACTACCTGTATGTTGCTAATACGTTTTTACTTACTCCAAGGAAAGCATAAGCAATAGAGATGTTGGCACAATGTAGCTGCCATGAGTTGCCCAACTGGCAAAAGAAAAGAAAAGAAAAGAAACGCTACCTTTATCAGGCAGTCCCATTTCTGCAGAAATGGGCTTTGGTGAAAATTCTCTGTCCAGCTGTAGCTGCTGCAAAGATCAAGGGACTAGAGGCAACTGGTTGTTACTAAAATTGTTACAAAGACCTCTCTCTTCTTGAGGTTCTGACGGAACTTGGGTGGGCGAGAACCAAAGAGACGTTCATTTGAGGGCCTGTAGATGTCTGGATCTTTGAGCTTCTTTTGCCTGAAGAGATTCACTTGGTTCTGAAAGCTCATTGCTGAGGCATCTTAATAGACTTCATTTCAGTTTCAGCATGAAATCTTTGTCAGGCCAAAGCACTTCATTTCTTGCTGGACTCTGCTGTCTAGGACTCTTTCCTTCTATTTGCAGTTGTCTTCAGCTCCTGCTCAGGGTGATGCAGTTAGAGGTGGCCAAATGAAAATCCTGTGAGCACTTCAGACAGGAAAGGACCCTTTTCAATGGCCTCAAGTATTGCGGGCCAGCAACAAGTCCGCATGGCTCGGGGTCTGATGCCAGATCCCTGAATGTCGGGGCTCTTCCCTGCTGTAGCCGCCTGTCCTACGCGTCACACAGCCTTAGCTTCTGTCATCATCTTTTTCCCCACGTCCAGGAGTAATTCTGTAGAAAGATTTGCTAGCTGCTAGAAGAAATAGGTAAGATGAGAATTATTTAGCTTAGCGTTATCGAAGTGGTGGCCCAGACGAAGCTGAGCCTGTGTATCACACTTTATTTCATCCAATAATCTTCAACTCCTGCATCTCAGTTGCAGAGGTGGTGTTTGTCGCATGCATTTAAAAACTGCTGTTCCTTAAATGTGCAGAGCTTCTGTAGGCACTTGAATTAGCTTCATTAAAAGGACATTTTTGAGAACAGGCTGTGATTTCTGCTCAGTAGTTAAGAAAAAATAAGAGATTCTTTTGTTATATAAAATAGTCCAAATGCTTCTGCCAAACTGAACTGTTTCTGTTTCCCTCTTCTGTTTCCCACCTTAGTTGTTTCCCTACATTATGTCAGGAGGAGCAAAGTTTCTGGGGAATGCGTTTGTATCCTCTGTGTTTCAGAAAAACAAAACCCACGTTCCAGTTTTTAGTGTCTGATTTAACGATCATCTGCTTCAGGTTTTCCAGTTCAAGCTGCTGGGCTTGTAAACTGAGCAGTGTATCTCACCAGGGACCCTCCCTACAGGCAACAAGAACTGCTGCTGGCAAAGTAGTTTTACATTTTGAAAGCATTTAAAGTTTGGACCTCATCTGTATTCTCTTGTAGATGCTCCTCTACATGTAGCCTTAAGACGTACACCATATAGAGATGAAAAAATAGAAAAGAGAAGAACTTCAACTCCTGTAAATGCATTAAATAATCACCGGCATTCTGTCAGAGAACAAACCAAGAACCACGTAGAGAAAGTGCTCCGGAAGCCTCAAGAAAAAGAAAGAGTTGAAAATGGTAGGCATTTAGTATGCAGTGAGCTCTTGGAAAAGCCTTAGGCATAATGAGGAGCCAGTCAGTGTTGATACAAAACAGTCTGCTGCTTTCAGACACTGCAGGTTTTCCTGGTTGTACAATAAAGTTATATAAGTCACTTTTTCCTCTTTGCGTTTCAAATGAAGACTCAATGAATTTTAAATTTTCTTATTATAATTGCTTCAGGGTTCATTTTTAGGTTTATGGTAAATATTTTAATATTTTTTGCATCCTAAAAATATTATTATATAAAACGAGTAAGAATCTTTCCATGCCCTTTTGCTTGATACGTGCATCTTATTGCTGTCAGTTCTTCAGCTGTCCATAGTTTTCCACCATTAAGTGTTTTAACTACTCCTGAGTGCTGAGAAACAGAAACTTATGAAAGCAGAAAGATTTTATGACTCTTTATTCACTTACCTGGTGAGAGTTTGAGCTGTAAGGATGAAGAAAATGCTTAAAAAATAGTTACTGATGAGATGAGCTGATTTAAAGAATTGCTTGAGGAGTTTATCTGACTTGGTAGTCATTTAATGGTTCTGTTGGTCAAAGGAGGCAGCCAGGACTTCAGTGGGAAGCCAGTATTTACTCCTGGACATCTTGGGTAGTTTGAGAACAAGATCTATTGATGTTTTCAGTGCTCTGAAGCCATGGGATGTGTCTCTTGTGAGAACCAGACATAAAGATTAGAATGAATTTCCCCCATGTGGGTGCTGGGAGGAATGTGGGGCTGAGGGGCCGTCGCGGGTTCCGTGGGGCCCGGCTGTGAGGGCGGGTGTTTGTGGCATTGGGTAGGGGAGCTTCTCTCTGGTCACAGGAATCCACAGGGATGTTCCTCACTGCGCAGCCTGCTTGTCTGGCCTCCTTTGAGGGAGAACCTCTAGACTTAAGTGTTTGCAGGGAAAGCTCCTGCTCTGGTGGTTTTGGAAGGTCCATTTCATCATACTCTGGATTTTTCTTTTAATTTTTTTTTTGAGGGGAGAATTGCGTTAATGATACCATGTGCTGTTAAGATAGCAGCTCTGTGCTGAATTCACAAGTACTTGTCCTTATGGTTTTAAAACCCATTCCAACTCTGTCAGGAAAAAATATTGTCCCGTGTGTTTTACTGTCTATGACATATATGGATAGTGATAACAGTAGCATTTTCTGCACTTGGGGGACTCTCAGGTGATCCAAGCAAGCAAAGTGAAAAGCAACAAACATTTCCCACCCACATTTATCTCAAATATTCCCCACTTGCCCTCGTGCTGGACAGATGGAAGGACAGAGCCGACCCGCGCAGCGGTGTGCGAGCAGGGCGAAGGCAGCAGTGCCCGGGGGATCCTTTCCTCGCTGGCACAGGCCTGTCCCGCTCTGCGGCCCCTCCCCGCCTAGTTTCCTTGGTCCGCAGCCCCTCCTGGGGGGCCGCGTGCCCGGGGCGGCTGCTGCCCCCGGAGGGTCCCTGGGGCGGCCCAGGGCAGGGCCGGCGCTGCCCGCAGTGCCCTCCCCTCCTTGCCACCCGCCTTCCCCTTCTGTCATCGCAGCACGTGCGCAGGGCCCTAGGGACGCACGGATACAGAGCTGAAGCTCTCTCGAGTCATAGGTTTTGAACGCGATAGGTTGCTAATAACATATTGTAGGAGACGAATGTGTAAATACATGAGTTTTGTGCAAAAAAAAATACATTAATTTGTTTCCTGAGTGCATTAGCAGTTGCAGATTATTTAGAGGTTTTTGGATGGTTTGAATAGGAGGCTGCTGACAGCGTAGTATCTGTAGATGGGTTATGTGAATAATCAGACATGGAAATAGCTTTAGAAGCGACGATGTGAGTGGCCTGATCAGCCAAGCACTCCAAATGACCGAGCGCAGGGCCCTTCGGAGATGCAGAGCTGCCTTCCACGACGCCGAGCGGGAGCAGTGCCGCTGAGCTGCTGCGGGGTGCCCGGGAAGGCAGCTGCGGAGAACGAGACCAAGCACAGGGGCTGCCACAAGGCAGGGCGGAAAGGGAGCGCTTGGCCCTGGCGCTCAGTTGTGCCACGCAGCGGATGGGCTGGGGGCGACCCAAAAATCCTCCCGCGGCAGGAAGAGCTCTGTGTTCCTAGAAGGATATGCTGGGAAAGAGGTGGAGAGAGAAGAGCAGGTGCTGCCAGCTAAAGCAGTTGTTTTGGTGGTGCTTTGTTCTCCATGGAAAGAAGTATTCTGAATATTCTACTGGTTGAAGAACTGGGCTAGTATTGGGGTGGTTGGGGTTTTGTGTGTGTGTCTGGTTGTGGATTTTTTTTTTTTTTTTTTTTTTTTTTTTTTTTTTTTTTTTTTTTTTTTTTTTTTTTTTTTTTTTTTTTTTTTTTTTTTTTTTTTGTGCCTTTTTTTTGTTTTCCAGACTTGCATCATGGTGCTAATGAAATTGCTTATGTTCAGCCAAACTTCAATTTTCTGATTATAAAATGAATGCAACAAATTCCTCTCTATCTTTTGGAATAATCTCTTAAGGCTGAAACTCTCTTGCTACCTAAGTACTGAGGCCAAGGACCACTGATCAGCTGGCTTTGCCCGAGTACTGTTGCAGTGTATGTGTGGGACGTTGACATTAGCACTTAAAAAAGACCATTCCCATCAACTGGGAATTTTTGCTCCCTTTTGTAGTGAATGGTCTAAAGTGTTAAAATATAATTAGATGTGTATATGTCTTTAAAATAGGAGTATTATCTTATTTCAGCTGTTAAAGAACAGGAGAAGAGCAAAGAGAGAAAATCCAAAGACTATGGAAGGTCCAAATCGAAGAAAAAGAAAAAAAAGAAAAGGAAAATTAAGCCTGGTAAGGGTCTTTTCTGTTCTTCAGAGGAATGTGGCTTCCTTGCTTTGTTTCGCTTGTTACTGATTGCAAACCCTAAGATCAGGCATTTCAGATGAGACTGTTTCCTGCAGTTAATCTTTTGGTCCCGATTCCGTTAAGTGGTTAGCATTACATTGTGATTGGCAAGATAACTGCTCTTAGTTGAGGTGCTTCACGGACATCCAGCGTGTGCAGATGACAGTGGCACAGAGTGAGTCGAGGTGCGAAACGGATGCCACGGAGTTGCAGAATGGCCGAGGTTGGAAAGGGCCTCTCGAGTCCAGTGCATTTAGAGCCCCCTGCCCAGGCCCCCTCCCAGCAGCTGTGAATCTCTCTGAGGAAGGAGGCTGCGGGACCCCCTGGGCAGCCCGTGCCGGGGCTCTGTCACCCTCTCAGCAAGGAAGTTCTTCCTCAGGGTCAGACAGAACTTCTGTGTTTCAGTTCGTGCCTCTTGCCTCTCATCCAGGATTTTAACCAGAGTTACATTTGAAATCATGGGCTGGTAACTTTTCATTTTTTAGCCAAAGCAGCCAAAGGGAATTATATTTCCCACAGTGCTGGTGAATTCAGTCTAGCCGTTCTCAACTTACTGGATTCAGTGAATCCCACAAAATCACAGGCAGGGATACCTGGTTTTCACCATCAGTGCTTGGACTTGGAAGAGTGTTTCTGAGTATCTGGTCAGGGCGGGAAAGGGTTGATTTACTCTTCGTGTAGGAGGAAAAAGAGGTGAAGAGTTTTCAAGGGGTTATCAGGACAACACAGTGTTGATGTTGCTGCCTCTGCCTGTATCCCAGGCAATTTGGATTTTCTTATAAAATAACTGTGTTAATTGAGCAACTTTCTATGGGACAAACTATACCAGGCTTGCCTTTACCCTTTAATGCAAACTTGCAGCCCTTTTGCTATTGACAGATCTTTTCTAATGTGCCTCAGGCTAGCTGTGGCAAAATCTATTCTTTGAACTTCAGCAGTGGAGGTGCTTCTTGGGGCTGGAATTGTCCTTCCTCTTAAGTAGCAGCCTTGCTGCTGGGGGGTCTGTTCACCAGGACCATCTGAAATGCCTGCGGACGGGTACAGTTAGCTCAACACAGCCTTGTGCCTGTGCTCTAGCCTGCTTCTTCAAACGTTTATTCCTTCAGCAGCGAAGGATGGCTGCCCTGCGTAAGGTTTTCTAGATCAGACAATCTCTTTCCTCTGGAAGGTTTAGAAAAGTCTTTTCGGGAGCATAAGGAAGTCCTAGAGTCTTAACAAACCGGCAATGACCTGGACGAATTGAACATGCCTCTTGTGTACGTGCCTGGTGCTACTTCTTTTCTTCTGTCTCTTTTCAAAGACAAGCTTGCAATAATAATATTTCTCACAATTTTGCAGAATACTCTGGAAGCGAAGAAAGCACAGACGTTTCACAGGAGCTTTCTCCAGAAAAAGCAGTTGTCCCAAAATACAGTTGTGCAAATAAATCGCCTGCCCACCCAAGCACGCTGCTGCCGTGTTCTGACTCCGCACAGCGCAGAGGGAAATCCAAGACAAACGGTGAGAAGACTCCTGTAGGTGCTTTGCTAGCACCTTTTGCTAGTAGTTCCTTATCAGTAGATGTGTGAGAGGGCTAGTAGCGCCGGAAATATGTATAAATTGGTGCTTCTGAAATGAATTTTGGCTGTTCTTATGCAGGAATCTTTATTTCAATTCCCCTAACTGAAGAAGTTGAACTAAATTAGCGTGCCAGAACTGTGTGCTGCTGCTTTTTTCTGCAATACATTCAAAGTTAAAAAAATAGGTTTTATACGTATCTTTAAACAGAATGTGTTGCTTTTGAAACACCACAGGATGTGGTTACATGTAATTGCATAGGTACAGCATTTTACATGGGTGTAATAAAGGGCTTTCTGAGCTTTGTGATAGTCAGGAGCTGTTGAACAGATATTTTATTATTTCTTCATATATTTCATACAAAGCTCACATAAAATATGGACACTGTGTTCCAGCCTTCATAATGTTGGAATGTCAAGTTTGCAAAATTTGAGTAAGATGGAAATGTTATATATGGTTATATATGGTTATATATGGGAAACATTGCTTGCCTAACTGTGCAGTTATGGTGTTGGGAACCACTTAGGTGTGTGTTTTTTTGTTTTTGTGAGGGTTTGTTGTTGTTGATGTGGAGGTTTTTATTGTTCTGTATTATATAAGGTATTTCAGTTAATTCTGCTATATGGGAAAAGGAAAAAATCATAAATGACTTAAATGAACTTGGTAATCACTTTTTAAAACATTTCATAAGTCTGTGCTCAGTCACATTATTTGGAGCATACAGACGGTGGAATAAATTTAGCACCAAAGTAAATGAGACTTGCTATGAGTATTAATGAAACTCTTGCATTATACTAAAGTATGGTGTGACTAACCTGTCCTTTCCAGCAACCTTCTGGAAGGAGTGCTGTGTCTCCCAGGTTGAATAAAACTTTTAATAAATAATTCTACAACAGTCTCACGAACATTTATCTTTCAGGTGTGTGCTTTTAACTTAAAAAAGCTTGTTCTGGATAAACAGTGCAGTAGAATTGTTTTGCACAGTCTAAGCTTGTGAGTTTTCCTGAAAACTTCGAGCTCTTCAGCTGAATTTCCAGGGCTTCCCAGAGAACTTCACAATCCAGCAAGAAAACGTTAGATTCTTGGCCCCCACAAATTGAGACTTTGTGTCATGCTGAGAGCAAAGATCAGCTCCTGTGTTGAATTCTTAGTCCCTGAAATATAACTAGAACTGAGGTGGCTCATAAAGATCTGGTTGATACCACAGATTTGCTCTGTGTTTCCGTAGTCTTTTTTTTTTTTAGCAGACTAGTTTGTATTAAAGAAAAATCCTGACTGAACTTACATATCTGCTTGTTTTTATACTTGACTAAAGAGACCTTATGCCTTTGCTTTGAGATGCTCCGTGTTGAGTTTAGCATTTTGGTGACAAAAGCTGTTACGTGGGGGTATTTTGAAGCAGCTGTTAATGAGCACACAGAACTTCATTGTGCTCAATAAGCAGTAGGGCACTGCTTGATGTTCCTTAAGTTAGAGTGAATTGATGCTTTTAGAAGCGGTGTCTCCATGCGCAGGATGGAAACCTTGAGTTATCTGATGTTTTAATTGCTCTGGATTTTTTATCTTGCTACTTGTACAGAGGAAGACACCTTGAGTGAATCCTCTACGGATAGCTTGCTTTGGAGCGATGATGACTGCAGTCAGGATATCGATGTGACCACTAACCCTGACGAAGAAGTTGAAGAAAGCGATCTGGAGATTGTTCGGTGTATTTGTGAAGTAGAAGAAGAAAATGACTTCATGATTCAGGTGCGACTGCAGCGGCGTGTGAATGTGCATAAGCTGCTGTAGCTCCCTTACGAGAGGGGCCCAACGGAGTGGGTGGTGTACCAGCCTGTACCTGGTGAGAGAGCAGCTTGGCCTCGTGGTGCTCTGCAAACGGCCAAATTAACTCTCTGACTTCCTGACCATCATCTTTGTTTCATATTAATGAGCTGTTACCCAACTGTGGACCCTGTGATAAGGGGAATCTGTTTATTCTTTTTAGAGTGGTAGTGGTGAGGCTCATCCTGCCAGAGAGCAAATACTGCAGGGTTAGGATAACTTTATAGGAAGGAAAGGTAGTTTCTTCTCTGTTTTTCTTGGGCTTTCATTTGACATTTAGAAATATAAATTTTGAAGCGTTTCTATAGCTTCACAGGATGCTACTGGATTTCATAAATGAAAACAGATGCGAAGTAGTTTAAATTTGCCTTACATTAGCATTAAGGGTGCAAGACTCCTATGGGTGTCTGCCTTTGGAGGATAAGATTTGGGTCACCAAAGTCCAAACAGAATGATCACACAATCACACTTGTGATCACACTTGTGATTTTTTTTTCTATGTGATGCAGAGGATGCTGGGCCTGAGGTTTGGCTTTGGAGGTGATTGAGTGTAGATGAAGCTCCTGTATTTTTGTTGTAGTAGATCAAAAGCTGCTTTAAATTCCCATCCAGTGGGCTGAGTTCCCCTTTTTACACTCACACCTATAGGACCACCTTTCCATTTTGTGAGGCCAGGTCTTGCTAATGACACATCTCGGGGAGATCTGCTTCTCTTCCCCTTTTGCATCCTCCATTTCCTTAACTGTTACTTTAGGCCACCAAAGTTAACCTAATGTCATACTCGAAAACTGGTGTGTCTTGCTTTCTGCTCCGAAACAGCAGAGCAGTTCGGAGACGAGCACTAATAAAACCAGTATCCATGGAAGGTGTTTCTTGAGTTCATATCTCTGTCAATCAGCGAAGAGGTTGCTTTGGAGTTGCCGTTTGTACTTGTTCTAGCTCATTTGGAAACTTTGCCAGTGCTGGCAATGTCTCTGCAGCAAACTTGGCTTGTGCTCCAGGCAAATAAAAAATCTGCTCTCTTGTGCCTCGGTGCCATGAGCTCCTGTCTTGGTCAGTGTAATTGCTCACGTCTGCAAGGATAAATACTGAAAGAAAGGGGTTTGGAAAGCTAGAACAAATGCATCCCCACTTTCATTTTGTATTAGTAGAACTGCCTTTTGCTGAAGGAAATAAAGTGTTAGTGATATAGTAATACATTGTATTGACTGGTCCTACATAATAATCTACATATCCCTTAGATTTCTATATTTGAATGTACTGATGTATTTGAGTGAAAACTTTTAATACAGAAAATCTGAGATACACCAATAAGGGAAACCTGATTGCATCCCAGGGACTGTTCCCGTCCCTGGGTGTGTGCACACATCTCCAGACAGATTGGTTCCCAAAGGGAATCCAATCCCTTTTTAGCTCCTTTCCAGATCTGTTGCTGCCCCCTTAATACTTGTTGTCATTCTCTGTTAATCTGTGTGAAAAACGTGTGAGGGGAGAGGGTTGACATTGCATTGCAGTGGGATCCTTTAATGTATTTATTTGCAGCTGAATTTGAGGATGTTAAGGCATCTTTTTGTTTCAATTGTGTACATGATGCAACTCTTCAATTGAGGGGATCATATTGGCCCTGTCGGCTTCGTTTCTGTTAATCTGCAATTCTTGGCTTTGAACAGTGTGAAGAGTGTCTGTGCTGGCAGCATGGAGTCTGTATGGGTTTACTGGAAGATAATGTACCTGAGAAATATACCTGCTACATCTGTCAAGATCCTCCAGGTACAGAAATTAAAGGTTACAGAGCCTTTTTATATGTATAATAATTTGAATAACTTTTTGTATGTATTGCAAAGATGAAACTTTGGTTTTGTTCCATTTAGCTATGCCTGCCCTCATAGCAGATTGGGTTCAGTTATAGAGAGTTTAATTCATGTTAATATAGTGATGAGTCAGTATTCCTGTTTATGTGGTTTTAAGCGTGATGCTAGAAAAGATGAGCAGAGCCTCCTTGGAGCTTACAGTGTTGGCACATGGCAGGGGAGGCAGCTGCCGCAGCAAGACTAGGCCCACGCACTCCAGACACGCCAGCAAGAGGCTTGCTGGTTCCCAACAGCTTTGACTGGCTTCACTCCTGGTTTTGGGAGGGCGCTTGCTCTCCAAGTGCAGAAATGCAAGTAAAATGTCTCGGGTACCGCAGCAAGAGCTGCTCAGGCAGCCGGTTCCCTGCTCCAGACCGCGAAGTCGGATGCTTTCAATAAGTTTCAGTCCAGCTTCCCTTAGCACACAGATCTTTTCTGATGTCCTGAACTACAAAATCTTCCTAAACTGGAAATGAATGAGGTTCAGACTTGTGTCCGTACTTGGGAATGGCAAGGAAAATGGAATATCTGCTCGCCTGTTCACCAAACCCTGCTGGTCTATGTGCACGTTTAGATTCTGAGCTCCACTTTTTTTGGCTGTTTAAAAATACAAGCCCTTCTGGTGGTTTAATTCATTGAACTGTAACTAACTACAATTCATATACTAATGTCTTTTATACTTGTAATGCGTTGCATGCAGTTAGCCAAGCAGTTGTGTAATTTAGGTAACATTTCTTTAAGTTTTTATTTTACAGTATTTAACATATGGAATTTTAACTTTTTGGTGTGTCAAGTTAGTTTTAAATTTAACATCCACATGCAGATTGAAGTTGTGAACTGCTTATATTCAGTAAAAAATAAAAAAAACACAATGTTTTGGCATAAAGTCCCTACAACTAAGGTTTATTTTGTTTAATTTAATCATTTGTATGGATTGTTGATTTGAAGATCCTGAAACATTTATTTCTCATTTGAACTTAATCTCTATCTGTAGATAAAGATTTAAATAAATTTTCCTGGAAAAGGGGAATTATTTCTAATTTTTTCAGTGTAAAAGTGGTTTCTCAAATCTACTTAATATGTCATTGACATGGAGCAAGTTCCATAAAACTTGGGAATCTGCAGAGAGATTGCTTTGAAAATTGGGCATAGCCCTTCAGCCAAGCTGTTTCAGTGCTGCAGCTTCTTACAGCCCCAGTTATATTAACTGAAATTAAGTTTAGTGCAGTTATGCCTAAAACTGCACTCGCTGTTACTTGTAAACAGGTGTGTACTGAATCAAGTGGAGTTTCTAAGTGATTTCTTTTAAGATACTCTTCCCCCTTGCTTACACATTGTCATGGCCCTTTCAAGGGACAGATTCTTCCCGCCACAGAGCGGACGCGGTGGCAGACACTGTCTGCGTTTCTCGGGCCTATTCACCTGGAAAGGGGGTGCAATCTTTTGTTTCCAAGTGCACTGCTAGGTAAATGATAGTGTAAATAGGCTTTAATTGTGAATAATCCCAGTGCTGTTCAGATCATCACCGAGTTCTCAAGTTCTGGGTTTCGTTCCTGTCAGCTGAGCTTCATCTTCTCTCCTAGATGGTAGCGTTGCCAGCAAACAACTCACAGCTAAATGGGTGTTGGGTAGCACAGGTACGTGGGGACCTTCTCCGAGGGGCTTCCAGCCACACCGAGCAGATCCTCTGCTTGATGTGAAATGTCTGTCTGAAGATGTTCATCGAACTGTTACAGCCCTAACAGTTTGTTTTTCCAGGTGGTGTTTTTATCTGAACGTGAGACCTTTTCAAGGTCTCCATACATTAGCTATTGTCTTATTTGGCCTAACACTTGAATGTGCTTCTGGGCATATTCTTTTTCTTTTTGAAAGAATTCTGGTATATTCTGAGGCAGTGCTTGTTAGTACAGAAGTTAAGTCTGGAAACATCCTTTGTGTCCATGGATGCTCATACTGAGCACAATAAGAAAATCACGTTTGGACTATTCTGTTACGGCTATCTAAAAGCAATGTAAGCCCACATTAGCAAGGTTTGTTAACTTCTTTGGATGGTTTCCGAAGACTTTTTTCTTCTTTGTGCCAAATTTGCCACCAAAACTTCATCACCGCATCCTTTAAAACTTGCATTTGAATGACTGCATTAATTCATGCCTGCAACTGTTAAAATAAGACCACTGGGGGAGTGGTAGTGCTGCTTTCCTGCCTTTATTTTAGTCACTGACTTTTGCTGCATTGTCTGTCTGCCGAGAGCTGTTTCCAAACCATCACTTTACTTTTAAGTGGTTAATAGCAGTTGTGTTTCCCTGCTAAAAACGCTTTTCTTTGTCCATCATGTGCAAGTATTTGCCATGGATGTCCTGTGTTCCTGGCTTCTACAATGGAGCATAGGTGTCTTGTGTGGTGGATTGGTTGGGTTGGTTTTGACTGAAATGGTGTCTTGCTTCCATTCTAGAGGCTCTTCTTCTTCAGAGGTTTGGCCACTATCATAGATGCCGTTGATACATGCTAAAGCTGCAAGACCTTGAGATAATCAGAACTGCTGCTGGTAATGTTAAGCTGAAGTTAATGCTTCATTTTAATGTACACATTACTGTTGCTTTAGGTCAGAGATCCAGCTTAAAGTACTGGTATGAAAAGGAGTGGTTAAGTAACGGTCACATGCATGGCTTAGCCTTTTTGGAAGAAAATTACTCCCACCAGAATGCCAAGAAGATCGTAGCCACTCACCAGCTGCTCGGCGATGTACAGAGAGTCATCGAAGTTCTGCATGGGCTGCAGCTGAAGATGAGCATATTACAGTAAGCTGTGTTTAAGTATCAGTTGGCATGTTCTAGATGTGATTTAGCTTTCACAAAATAACTGGAAATGCAGATTTATTTTTATGCTTCTCATGTCGGTGCATCAAGATGTAAAAACTGGCTCTGGGTAAAGAGGGGTTGGTTGGGGAGGTACAAAGAGAAGGGGGAGAAAGCTAAGGATAAATGCTTCTGCTAAAGCACGTAAACAGAAATTTAAATATTGAGAACTTTTTATGTGACAAATTGCACAACAGCAGCCACTTCAAGAAAAATGTTTAGTATTTGCAGCATTCTTGTGAACTTTTTCCCTTAGAATTTCATCTGGTGGATCCCCTGAGGACCGTGGCAATAATTGAGGTCCTTGACCAATGGACTAATTCTAACGAATGCCCCCCTTAATAGAGGGGCAGCAATTTTAGCGCTGGATTCTGCTTTCCCATGCTGATGTCCTTTAGTCCAACCCATAACTCTGTTCTCTGCCTCCCTGCCCCTGTGAAGCTGCAAGATCCTGTGATCATTTCTTAGCTCTTCCCTAGTCACGAGGGTTAAGATTGCTGCCTGTGTGTAAATGGAGAGTAGCGGGGCACAGAGGTGCTGGAGCACAGGGTAAGTGTTTGATACCGTTACAGACCTTGGTCCTTCTGCCTCCCCTTTGGCTCTCGTTGTGCGGGCCTGGTTTGGTTAAAGACACCGTGTTGAAGTCTTGTTGAAAGCCCCAGCCCCATGTTACTATTGGGACAAAAAGGACACGGACACACGCCCAAAGGCTGCTTATTTTTAATAGCAGAATGGAACAATAGGTGTGTTCCTGTGGCATGGCTAGCGTCTGGGGAGAGGTGAAGCCCCTGCAGCTGTCTGGAGTGGCGCTTGGTGTTCCAGAGGTGCCTGGAGGATCGGGAGGGACAGCTTTGGTGCAGGGGGAGGGCACCACGCTGGTGCATGGAGGGAAGGCTGCTCCAGTGCTCGACGTTCAAATTGCCATTCCTGTGTAGCTGACTTCTGATCCTTTGGTTTTCTGTCCCTGTGAAGTTATCCTTTGCATTGTGCTGATCAGCAGAGCACTGTCAGGTGTCAGATATCTGTGGAGCGGGAGTGGAAGGCTTTGCTAAGTGAACACAGTTGGCTTTTGGTGTTTGAGAAGGGCTGTACTCACCACAGCCATAATATACTTTTAATTGCTGGAGAGGTGCTTACATGGAATAGTTCTAAGCAACTTTTGGTACTTTTGCTATTTAGTTTTCCTTTTCTACCCACAACCTTAACAGTTGTTGTAGAGCTCACCAAAAAGCGGTGACTTTGGAGGCCGAGTTGTCGTGTCGCGGTGAGCGGCAGGGCCAGCAGCCTGAGGATCGGGTTGAGGCGGCGCCTGTGTGTGCGGGGCGGGCGGGAGGGCTTCGAGGCAGCCCCCCGTCGCAGGCTGCAGGGGCCTTGGGGTCGGCAGGACCTCCCTGCCCTCCGAGGGCAGCCAGGGCCCCGGCTCCGCTCCGCGCGCGGCTCTGCAGCCTCCTGCTGCTCGCGGGATGCGGGAAGGACCCTCTGCTTGCCGTGCTCGCTCCCTGGCTCGTCTTGTATCCGTGCAGGAATCTGCTGCCTGCAGATTCTGCTGCTGGACAAAGTCACTTCAAGCAATATCCTGTATTGGTGTGAAAAAAAAAAATCTGAGGAGCATGGGGGAGTCATGCTGTTATTTTTATAATTGTATCATATTGTTGTAATAGCAGCTTTTGCTCAGGGTCTTGTGCTTTAGAGGAAAAGTTTTTGTTTTGTTGATTTTTTTGTTTAACAAAAATGAAACCTTCTCCACCCCACCGTCACTTATTATGAGGGGTTAAAGAAGATCAGTGGATTAAACTTTCAAATTTCTTTTGAGGAGCTGCAAGCTAAATGCTGATATTGAGCGATTGGGGCAGGGTGCTTTTTGCTATAATTTGTTAAAAATGTTGAAAAATTATTTATGCAGATGAGTAAGTCTTTCAGTTTAGCTTTAATATACCTGACTTGCCCATTTTAAAACATTGTTAGAAATATTCACATGAAAATGCTCTGAAGAGACAAATTTCCAGTATTGAATCATAATGTTGCCCTTGAAAGAGTTTGTTTGGTTGAGAAGTTCTGTGTCTACTTGAAACTTGCACTTTTTTTTTCTTAATGCCAACATATGGCTTATATACAATATTATAGAAATGAAAATAGTCAACCTAACGCAACCTTATAGGAAGACACACAACTGAGGTCACTGAAATTCTTTCAGACTGTTTGGGGATATTTACTGGTGGTGAAGGTGACTAAAACATATAGTAGCTTGAATTTCCTTGCTTAGTTTCTTTGCATAAAAGGGTAGTGTTCTTTGCATAAAAGGGTAGCGTTCAAGCACTTTAAAGCTTAAATTTAGTGGATATTTTTACCTTCTTAAATTTGAACAGAAATAAAGACCATCCTGACTTACAGCTGTGGTGTCATCCCTGGAAGCACATCACTGTGGATGAAAAGATTCATACAAAACACATCATTCACATTGAAGAGAACTGTTGCAAAGAGGAGAGTGCGAGTTACAGAGCTTGGAATGGGACAGTTGAGAAGCCCGCGACCATTCCTTCCGTGGAGGAGTCTTACATCACGAGCGAACACTGTTACCAGAAGCCTCGCGCCTACTACCCTGCTATAGAGCAGAGACTGGTTGTGGAAACACGGGGTGCAGCCATGGATGACGGCGTGAACAGAATAAGGGAAAACGGGGATGATGTCCTGTCGGAGAGGTTCGGTTGGAACCTGGACCGAGAAATATGCAAGATGGAAAATGAATCCAAACACAATTACTCCAAGGTATTTGTATTAAAATAGCATTGTCTGTAAGGAAAATGTGTTTGCCTGGTGGAATACAAGACTGAGAAGCCTTTTTTTTAACTGGATGTCTAGTTTATTCGTTGGTGGTTAGAGTTTGTGGGGTTTTTTTTTTTTCCTGTTCAGCCATTTGAATTTAGATTGTTGGTGCGAATTGAAATAATAGACATGGTCACCTCACCCATTTCACAAAAACATAGAGTAGCTTAGTCCAAGATGGACTTCTGGACCTGAAATTACCTGTGCAGCCTGCGGTTGGATGCAGTTTGCTCCGCTGCCCCTTAGCAGTGACAGGAGGGAGAGGAGACAGGGCAAATGTCAGATAGTGTCAAACTCGCCCGTGTTCCTGCTTTCTAGCTATTTCCAGCTTGCTCCAGTGTTTCTTCCAGTAGATATTATAAATTCATTCCATATTATTCAGATAACATTACTTGAAAAACTAAACTGAACTGATAGATAAAGAGCTATGGTCATTGAACAATTTGTATTTTTTCCTACTGAAACAGTCCAGCTTTCTTTTCTAGCCATTGGATCGTATCATAAATAATGCCAAATCTTAGGACATACAGACAGAAAAAGGTTTAAAAAGCCAGATTAGCCACTGGAATATACTCTCCTCTGTGTTTTAGATGGAAAGAATGTTCAGTTTTTTTCATACATATGTAAGTTGTAATTTATGTTTTATAGAGAAAGCTCTTTATGAAATAAATTGAGATCCCTTAGTGTTTCCTAGAAAGGCATATATTTCAGTTCTTTAATCTTGGAGCTTTTTTTCTAAATTCTGTCTTAATTCAGAAGAACAGTTACAAAGGACTAGCAGAAGCCATTGACGCTGTATAGTCAGGTTTATAAGAAGTGTCGATTTTTATTTCTAGATGCTTAGAAATGAGGTCAGATTAATGCAGCATCTCACTGAGAATCCCATCCTCCTGCAAAGTGATTCACTCTTTAGGTGATCACTGTCACGTCAGAAACATTTTTAATGTCCCCTAAAATGCAGAGAGTGACGAGACTTCGGTTGGCAGTTTGCAGGGAGCAGGTCCCTTGGTGTCCTCCACCAGCCTGAGGTTTGTTGAGCAATCGGCTTTGGCTCCGTGAGGACCCAGGCTCTCTGCCCCGGTGATTCAGTGCCACTGTAGTAAGCACTTACGTGTGTGTTCCTGCTAGGTAAGAGAGCCTGTGTCCAAGAAGGTGTCTCCAGAGGAAGCCATTGAAATGAAACTGCTGGAGAAGGACAAGGAGGGAGTTGTGAACTCTCAGCTGCAGTGGCAGCTAAACCTTTTAGCTCATGTGGAGTCCCTACAAGATGAAGTCATACACAGAATGGACTTCATTGAGAAGGAACTAGATGGTAAGTAGCAGTTTGCTATTAAAAAAATTAACAGTGTTTTGGCCCATTCAAATAATGCTGTCTGACCAAAACATGTGGGCTTGAATTTTGTTTCTGCAGAGCTAGGAAGAGGTGAGCAATGCAGTATCAGTTTTACTGCATTTAATAGTAGAAAATTAATACTTTGTCTAGTGTATTACTTGATCTAATTACTGCCTAGAGAAGGGGAATTTTTAAAACAAAATTAAGGAATAAATTAAAAACGATTAGAGTATTATGGAAAAAGCTTTAGTTGGATCATCTTTTAGTAATTATGTCAGAAGTTTTTGTTCATCTACTCAAACCAGAGCCGTTAATGAAAATCTTTGAGTGTTACCTGAGTGCTCGTGGTTTGAGTTGTTTGTTTTCTCCAGCACTGGGAGTGTCCTGCAGAGAAGGGCAAGCCTCCTGAGGTGGCTGCCGTTCCTTGGCAGCCTTGCACGTGCGCTGTTCGTGATGGGCGATGGATGTTAAAATGCACAAAAATCCAGAAATCTGTGTGCGAAACTACCTGAGGGGATCTGAGCGGCTGCAGCTCTTTGCTTCCTCTTGAACTTTTTTACTTGAAAAGATGCAAGCTTTTCTTGCTGTAAATTTTCAAGACGTAGTAGAATACTGTCCTCATCTATTTTTAATTTTTTTTTGTAATTTGCACAGTACAGTATCTGAACGTCCTTGTTCTTGAAGGTTTTGGTGGTTAATCCTGCTCGGTGATTCCTCCAAGTGGCCTCTGGTACACAAGGCTTTGTTTCTTTTCCTCTTTGTCTTCCAAATCTTCCTAAATGTCTCTTGAAATTTTTTTTTACCAGTTATTGGAAACTTCTTGTTTCCCACAAGTGTCCAACTTGTGTCCTTTATATATTTTCATTAAACAAGCCAGGCTTCCTTGACTTTAATTTGAAAGAAGCTGCTTCAGGGAACATTCCAGCAACTTTTAAGTCTGATCTTTGCTTGTGCAGTGGTTAAATGGGCAGGTTTTCTTTCAAGAATGCTGGGAATCTGATCTTTGCCAAAGTTCTTTCTTCATAGTTTGATAAGATAATGAAATGTTGGATTAAAGAGATATTTTAAGTAATGAAGATCAGGCGTGTAATTATAGCATCTGTTTCGTAAATGATAAAGCTCCAGGTTAGAAGATTCTTTATTTTTGCCTTCACTTTTGAGTTGGTGAAAGGCTGTTTGGTGTTGCAGCTCCTAGGAATTTTGTTATTTCAGGCTTGTATTTTTTGGTGGTTGAATAATCTGTTTTTCTGCAGCCTTGTCCTCGGTTAAGCTAATCTGGAGTCTGGTTGGTAGCAACGTCCGCTGCTTTTCCCTCTTGAAAGATCCGTGTGTTCCACCTCACTGCGGAAGCGGGAGGTTTTGGTTGTCTGGCGTGACACTGTCCCACGCCCCGACCTCGCTGCAGGATCATCGTTCTGGTGGCTCTGCGGGAAGGTCTCCCAAGTTGTCTTGCAGTCGGCTAACAACAGGTCTGGTTGGCAGCAGAGACGCTTGGAGGATGAATTCTTTTTCAGTGCATTACTCTGCTGCTTCTGCTTTTGAATTTCATCTCTGTTCTCTTGTTATCCAGTTCCTAACTGTCTAGCAGTCACCTTCTGCACTGACCTCAAGTCTTCCGTTAGCGTGGTCCTGTTTAGGCTCTTCCTCCCAGTGAGAACTGGGTAGCTGCATCTGGCACAGACCTTAAAGCTTTTCTGACGAGAGTCTCTCTACAGCCGTGCCCTTGCTTTGGAGTTCACACAGATCGGGACCGAGGAACGTGAAGTCAAGTCCTACAGTCTCCCAGGAACATCTGCTATTCTGCCTTTGCCTTTTAAATGGGAATTAAGTAGTTGTGTGATGTCAAGAGGGCTATTTGTAATGGTTTTCTGATTTCTCAGAAAACGCAACATGTTAAAAATGTTCATGAAATTTGAAAAAAGCTTGTACAACAACTTTGAGAAGTTTCTGCTTTGCGTTAAGACTCTCTGCCTGCTGAGAAGGGGAATAGTGACAAGTTTCTCTTTTTTTCTTTGCAGTTCTGGAGAGCTGGCTGGATTACACAGGAGAGCTGGAACCACCAGAACCACTAGCTCGACTTCCACAACTCAAACATTGTATAAAGCAGCTTATCACGGACCTGGGGAAAGTGCAACAGATTGCGCTTTGCTGCTCAACGTGAGACTGGGAAACGTTGGAAACGGCTGCTGGGCCTGAAGGTGGAGCGTCTGACGTGAACAGCTCTGTATATTTAAATGAAAATAGCATGCTGGTTGCATGTAGTGCGGATTGACTTCAGGGAGTCGTGAAGAAGTGCTGTTCAAAGAACGGCAGGGTTATTTCCTCTCATCGTAATTTGGGGTTTATTAAACACTTAGTACGGAAGGGGTTATGTTGTTCTCCTCAAAGTTTGAGCCTTGGCTGATAAATTACACTTAAACTTTCCCACCTTACAAGTTGTTCATGGAAACGGTAGACTTTTTTGCAATTGAATTGACTAAAAATTGTGCCACTGAAGAACCGAGTTCTAAGAGCCAAAAATGTTTAGTTGACAGAGGTTGTAAATAACTTTCCATAGTTTAAGTGACTTGTGTCATGTTTTATTCCTTCTGGTTTATGCATAATAGCACACAGTATTTAATCATTAGGAAACAGTATAACAGTTTTCAGTCTTAGCAAGTATGAATTTCCAGCTCTTACTGTAAACTGTTACGTGGAGATTTGCAAGAAACACTGGTCTAAACTCCACTTGGATTACGTTAAATGATGTAGCAGAAGGTCACAGGTGGATTGCACTTGCTTTTCAGAAAAAATGATTGTTTTTCCATATTTATCCCGTCACTATCACACGACTTGGTACTGGGGAAACCCGTCGATGTCTCTGTGTGTTCTCCAACCCTGGAAACTGTGGCCGTCCTGTGCCTGCTGAAGCAGGGCCCGTGGGACACCCTGGTGGCGGGACCGGATCCTGCTGAGCAGACCCGGAGCAGTCTCGGAGTTCCAGATTGCACACCATCCCTAACAGACCCTGTGTAGTTTTCTACCCCTTTGTTAATAATTGCCATTCCAGTTATATTTTGAAACGTAGACCTTTTTCAATACTCTGAACGTGTTCGTTGTAAAGACTTCCTCTGAATGTGTGGTTTTGGGAATCAGTTTATTTTATATTTGTGTAAATAAAGCCTCAAGATCTATGCATGAGGTGCTGTCCTCGCAGACAGCAAGTGGGTTATTATCTTAAACGGTGTATGTTCCAGAAGTCCCTTTTTATACCTTCAGTTTTAATTTTCTGGTTTGTATTATTTTTGTGCGGGCAAGGTGAAAATGCTGCTTTTGTTCGAGGCCACGATGCAGTCCCCTCGGAGCGGTGCTGGGTTGTACGTGTTTGAAAAGCCTTTCGGCCGCACATCGCAGCTCCGCAGAGAGCGCCCCTGACTTCACTTTTCCTTCCCAAGTGTTGCCAGGTCCCCTTGGAAAACGGTCAAGCTGTTCTGCATTGAGGGAGGATGTCCTGAAAAAGCTGGATTTCTCTTTTTTGTTGTTGTTGTTTCGTTTTCACGTGATGGTACCACCAAAGGTTAAAACCTAAGCACAGTTGTAATTGAGAGGCCCATAACTACAAGTTTTAATTATGGATGTGACTCTGTAATGTTTATATGCTGCAAAAAATAATGATTTACTATGTAAACTTGAAATAGGCGATATTATTGTAGGAGTAACAGTATCTACACAGCAAATATTTTAATCAATTCCTTCAGAAAACGACCATAACTCGGCTGCTCTAGGTAGTAACTAAGGCTTTTCTGCCCAGACTCATTTCAGGGAATAATTTGTCTCACAGTTTTACAGCGCTAGTTGGTATATAGTGAATACCACCTATGTATAGCAGAAAAGTAAACGTATTTTTCTGTAACACAGTTGGAATAAAAGCTTACCTGGTATTTAACTGTCACTTCACTCTCTAAAGGTGAAAGCAATGCGTACGCTGGGACACATTCCTGTTAAGGACACCTGCGTTTGTGGGTACCGTGTAGCTCTAGAACACACAGCAGTAACCAAAAGATGAGAAGAGCATCGGTAGGAGGGTTGTTAACAACTGTGAAGGGTCTTTTTAAATTATTATTATTATTTTATTGTAATGTCTTCAGGCAAGCTTGACCTGCAAGTTATTTTCTGTTTGCAGTTTACAGAGCAAGAACTCAGCCTAGGGGCCCTCAAGAAGAGCCCAGTGCTCACAGGTTGGCCGTGCCCACGGCTTAAGGGGAGGAAAACGGTTAAACCACAGTTAACCCCCGAGCAGGCTGCTTTCCTCCTCTGTAAATCTCTCTTTTTTTTTTTCCTTTTTCCCCAAGTAATTGATTTTTATGCATTCAAGTTGGTTTTTGTTTGTTTTGTGTTTTTTAGTATGCGTTTAGTAGGGTTTTTTTGTTTTGTTTATATTTTTCTGTCTTTGCCAGTTTATTTTGGCTCAGGGCAGTGCTTTAGATTTGGAGGGGAAGATACTGATGGGTGAATCATATGGCCAATAGTGGAGGCTTGTTTTCCTTTTTCCCTTTGGTAGAGCAATAGGGAAGCCCTTGCAGATAAAAACTGCAAATATTTATTTAAAATAGATTAGCATTTCTTGTGTTCAGGAAAGGTTGGTTGTTTTGCTCTGCCTGCGTTCATTCTGTCCCTTTGCAAGTTTCCACATTGCTGTGTTAGTCTGGACCAGCTCTTTGGTCTGGCAGGTCCCTTTTTTCTTTCCTTCCTTTTTCTTCTCTCTCTCTCTCTCTCTCTCTCTTTCTCTCTTTCTCTCTCTCATTTTATTTTATTTTATTTTTTTTTTTATCACTGGTAAGTGAATGCAACGTGGAGCCTTGATGAAATGAGCAAACATTGCACTGTGGATACATAAGTGTATTTGTCTTTGTTTTATGCACTATTAGAACTGAGGGCGCTGTATATAGAGTTTTGCTTTGGAGCAATATTTGCAAAACTTGAAAACTTCTGTATCTTGGTGTTTGGAATAAATAAATAGGCTTTTGTTGGTTTAAGTCTTAGTAAAGTCTTTGTTTCCATTAATGATCATTCAATAAAATACTTCTGGACTTTGTGTCTTCACATAGCATTGAAATGTAGGTGCTGTAGTTTGAAAGCGATATTGGCAATTGCTCTTAGAGTGTCTGAAGTGATCTCCAGTTCTCATATAAATACTGTTATTATATTGCAAAGGAAACAGCTCAGCTCTGGTTTGAGTGAAGCTTCAGTATTTTATTCTGATTACAAAGAACTGCAGACCCTGATTTCCCCTTCCCGTTTCACGCGGCGCCTGCGGGCAGCCTCTCACCTCATCTCAGCCGCCCGGTGGCGGCAGCGACGCCGCTGTGCTGGGGTCCCGCGGGCCAGGCCCGGCGCCGGGATCCTCATCCCACGGAGCTCCGAGCCCAGAGAGGCTCCGTCCTGCACGGCGCGCGGCTCCGGTGCTGGGGGGCAAGCGCGGCCGGCTGCAGCGGGCCAGGAAACGCAGCCTCAGTGTGGCTGCTGTTTGCAGGGTCTCATTCTAACCCCGTCTGATGCAAAAGTGTATTTTGTCTATCAAAAATGCCACAATGGGTAGATAGTTGTGGAGTAATCGATGTGGTTTTTTTTTCACTGAAATCTTAACTTTTATATTTTTTTTCAGAATTTCTTGACAAAATTATATAGAGCATTTCAATATATGTCATAGGAATGCTGTTTGTAGTGTTTGCAAACTCAAGCTTTTGCATTCTTGCATTCTTGCATTTTTGCATTTTGTTCCAGGACTAGGATTTCTAGCTGTCCTTGGATTGCTGCTGATGCCTTCCTAGCGTTGGGGCTTGACATTCATTATCCCACTGAAAGATTGGTCAGTTGTTTAAAGTTCGAAAGCAAGAATTTTTTTTCCCTGTAAATTAAATATCACAAATTAATGCACTTGTATAATTTCCCAATGTCGTTGCTAAGCAGCTAGAATTACTATGATTATTTAGAAGAATTTGTCATATCTCTGCAAAGCTGCTGTCTCTTTCGAAGAGAAAAATACCTAAACCTCTCGTCTGGTTACTACCTGCTGCGGACAGCAACAACAGTGTTCAGATAGGCAGGTAATGAAAACCCGGGGACCCAGGCCTGATGCAAAGGTGAGGAGATGAATGTCTTAGATAATAGGATCCTAGTCCTAGAGTCTAAAAAAACAATTAGGCTTCTCAGGAGCTGGGATTCCCAGTGTGCATTTTGTATGGTGGCACTTTTCTGGGAATGCCATCCACATGTGTGGCCACATGGCCTGAGTGGGACTTGCTTCTGAATGCTTCATACCAAGCCTTTAAGGACAGTGTGGGCCTCACTTTCCTCGGGGCGATGGAAGTTCAGATGTATGGGATGCTGCGGAAGGGAGGAGGAAGGGTTCACACTTAGCAGATTATCACAGAATGGCTGAGGTTGGAAGGACCCCTAGGGATCATCCAGTCCCACCCCCTGCTCCAGGAGGGACACCCAGAGCACGGGGCACACGGTTGCATCCAAGTGGGTTGGAAAGATCCCCAGAGCAGGAGCCTCCCTGGGCAGCCTGGGCCAGGGCTTGGGCACATAAACGGTTTCCTCACACAATAGATGCTCCAGCCCCTTCATTGCCTTTGTCGCTCTGTGCTGGTCCCTCTCTGGAAGCTCCACGTCCCCCTTGTCCTGGGGAGCCCAGAGCTGCCCCCAGTGCTCCAGGTTTGGCCTCCCCAGAGCTGAGCAGAGGGGCAGGATCAGGATCCCCCCCCTGCCCTGCTGCCGACGTCCTCCCGATGCAGCCAGGAGCCCCTTGACCTCCTTGGCCACGAGGGCACTGCTGCCTCATGGACAACTTGTCTACCGTATTAAGCACACTGAGTGCATGGGCTGTCATAAGGAGCTCCTTGGGCAGGGTTGGTTCGTTAACTGGTGCCAAGTTGCGTCTTGGAGTGAAAATCAGAGCCCCGGTTGATGGTTGCACTTTGGGCTTCTGCAAGTCTGCAGAGCTGGTGCCTTCCAAGGCCCAGAGCTGCTGGGGCTGCCCAGGCTCTTTCGCTGCCCATCTGAGTACAGGGGCAGTCTGACCACACAGCGCCCATGGTCACCACAGACACCAGAGCCTTTGAACACGTCCCTGGGCTTGGAGCCACGGAAAAGGAGTGAGGAGGGCTGGGAAGCAGCTGCTCCTGCAGGCAGGGCCGTGTCCTGTCCCGCCGCTCCCTGCGCACGCGCGGGGCTCCTCGGGGCTGCCTCATGCTGCCCTTCCCCTTCCCGCTGCGGCTCCTGTGCTGGAGGAGCCCTGGGCCCGTCACGCTCCTTCGGTTCCTCCCAGCCCTTCCCCGTGTGTTGTCGCGTGTGCCCTGCCGGGCGCCGCAGCCCCTCAGGCTCTGCCCTCCGGCCCTGCGTGTCCCGCGGCAGCGCTGGCCGCTGGGCGGACGCGCTGGAACTGTGCCCATCCCTGCACAGCCATTAACAGCTCGAGTAAAGACATCCTGCTTAGTGCGACAAGGGGAGTGCTGTTTGTGACGGTGCTGCTGGCCCTGCCAAGCCCAGGCCCTCGCAACCACCGCTGGAGGCAGCACCGGAGGCAGCAGCAGCTCCGCGGGGCTGCAACCGACACCGCACAGCGACGGTGACGGCGGCGGCAGCCGCAGGGCCCTGCCTTGGGGACCGTGAGGGCATTTTCCAGCAGGCCTCACGTCCGTCCAGAAGGAGGAGCTTTGGACACGTTTGTCTCTGGCTCCCTGCAGTCTGGTCCAGCCACGAGAGGCTCTTCTGGGGCCTCTGCACCAGCTCCTGGCTGATGCTTGGAAAGCGACGTGCAGAAGTCACAGAGGAGCTGCCACTGCAGGGCGAGTGGGCCCTGGGGCAGGAAGATGGCCAAAGGCAAAGCTTTGCTCACAGACACATGTCACTAACACAAAAAGGGTTAAAAGGGCCCTAGCGGCAAAACCAAAGGAAGCCAAATCCTCTGTGCCGGCCCCGGTGCCGCTAAGGGTGACGGCAGCGGTTGCAGCTGGGTGTGGGGCAAGGTAGAGACGGAGGAGTAACCCATCAGGCCAGAGCGTAGCAGTCCCTGCCCAAAGACAGACACCTGCGCCTTAGAAAGCTGTGTTTGAGTCAAACAGACTAGGCAGGCATGTAAAATGAGCCTGGGGAAGCGGAGGGAAACGAGAAAGCTGGGCTGGATTTGCAAAAGCAAAATAGTGCGACATGAAAATGAAGGGGAGGTCTGAGCATGGCAGAGGCAGGAAACCTGCAGCTCTTTGGGGTCCTGCTGAAACAGCCTCTGCGAGCACACAGAAAAGGAAGGAAAAGATGTTACCAAGCAGCTGAATTGCTTCTGCATCGGGTTTTACCACAGAGGAAGTTTTAGGCCCTGGCCCCAGACCTGTCTTTGCTGATAAGAGAGCTGTTGAAAGCTAGACCTCAGAATCTTGCTCTTTTGCTGCCTTTATACTGATTTTAATTAAGTCTGTTAGGCTGACTGATCCAGCCAAGACGATTTTAGCTTCAATCTGAGTTTGACATGAATATTTGCATGCTTTCTTTTCTCTTTAGAAAAAAAAAAAAAAGATCCTTTTTCTAGGAAACACTTATTTTCCTATTTCCTAGAACAGCAATAACTATATTGCATTATGTAAATGTATTAATTAAAGCGAAGATGAAGCCTGGAGGGCAGAACTCCCCGGCCCAGGGAGCGCGGCGCTGGGCTGCGGAGCGCTCGCTGCAGCCCTTGCCAGGCCGGGGAGAGCCGGCAGCTCCGGCAGCTCTTCCTGCGGCCGGGGCTGGGCAGCCGCGCCGGGGGGGGACAGAACCAGAACTGGGGCGTCCCCAAACCTGTGCCACGGTTTCAGTTGACAGTTTATGATTTATTATGCAACCCTGAACTGTACATGAGGTGTCCTTTAGTGAAGACATAAAATGTTTATTGCCAGATGTCCAACGGGCTCCCGACCATTTTAGGAACCCTAAAGCTAGTGCAGTCCCATCCTTAGATGGTTTAAAGGGCAGCTATGTGTGAGAAGGCAAGAGGGTGGTTTCCTGCCCCCTTGCTCCACGCTCCTGGGCAGGCAGCTGAAAAGGGCTTAGGCAGGCGAGGGCACGTGCCCACTGCCCGTGGGCTCAGTGCACCCCGGACAACTTCCACAAAGTGGCCTGAGCTGAACGAGGGCATGCGCGCGGCCTGGGCGGCTGCGCGCGGATGCGGCGCCCCGGCCCCTGCCTGGGTGGCGTTCACATTCGCTCCGCGCATCCCCGTGGCCGGCCCCCCGGCTCAGCCCTTAGGGCTGCAACGGGCTCTGCCTTTGCCCACCATGGAGCCAGGACCGGGCTGCAGGCCCCTCACGTGCCAGAGCCCTCAGATCCGGCAAGGCTGGGCTTGCACTGGAGGCCGCTTCTCTCCTCATCAGTGCTGTGGCCTGTCCTGCCTTAACCCCAGCCTTAGAGGCCGGGCTCCTCCTAGGGACCAGTGAGCAGCGCGTGGGTGCCACGCTGGTCTTGGGCCTCTCGGCTGTAGCACTGGGCACCTCTTTCCAGGAGGGCAGGAGTGTCCGTCGCAGGGCCGGTCCAAGCAGTGGGCCCTGCTCTCAGCTGTGCTCCCTGCCCTTGCCCTTGTCAGCCGGGCTGCTCTCCGGCGGCGCCCCGTCCGTCAGCAGCAGGTAGGAGCTGATGGCTTCCCGCAGGCCCACGCTGATGGGGGACTCATCCTCAGGCAGCGCCACGGCCCCCGAGAACAGCGCGGAGCTGGCGTGGGAGCAGGAAGGGGCCGTCAGCCGCAGCGGGACGGGCAGCCCGGCCCCAGCGCTGCGCTCCTGGCCGCCCCTACCTGTCCACGCGCTCCCAGTCGAGCGGCGCCTTCTTGACAGCCACGGGCGGAGGCGGCTGCTGGGCTGGGGCTTGGCCTCCCGCTCCCAGGTAGCAGGGCTCCCCGAGGGGGCAGCAGAGGCCGTCCCCGCACTCTGCACGGGGCGGGAGCGTCACGACGGGTCCTGTGCTGCCCCGCGGTGCTGTGCCCCAAGCAGGGCCGCTCGGGAGCCACCCTCCGGGCGCCCGACGCCTCACAGGCCCTTACCCGAGTAGTGCTCGACCAGGTCGTGCAGGCTGGGGAAGGTGAGCCGGGGCGAGATGTAGAGCCAGCCGTTGTGCAGGCGCTGGATGCGGTAGTGGCTGACAGCGTCCCAGCACACGTGCTCGGTGCGCCGCACCGACAGCGAGTAGCAGCCTGCGAGGCAGTGCGCGAGCTCAGGCCCAGCTGGCGGTGCTGGGCGCGCGGGGCAGCACCTCTGTCCCCGGGGCTGGTGCCAGCCCCGTGCCCAAGCCCTGAGAGGCTGGGTGACAACACTGCAGTGTCCATGGGAGGGATCTTGCAGCAAGCGGGCGTGCGGACCCAACCCAAGCTGGTACCGAGAGCTCTGCCCTCTGGGCCCGGGGCAGCCCAGGGTGGCCCAGGGCTGGGCAGCAGCACAGGGCGCCCCAAGCAGCCTGGTGTCTGCTGCGGCCGTTCACGCTAGCTGTGGCCTTCCGCACAGGGCACTGCTCTCTTTGGGACACGAGGCTCCCTGGGCCTCGGCTGCGCTCGGTGCCCGTGTGCCCCGCACGGTGGCTATGGGGGTGCCCAGGACCCTGTTTCCTTGATGAGCCAAGCCTAAGGCTTTGTGTTTCGCTGCTTAGCCAAAAGTTGCAGGAAACGTTCTTCTTTCTGCGGCCCCGGCAGTGGAGGAAGAGGCTCCGTGCGAAGCGGAGACCGACGGCTTCTCAGGAAGCGGCCGTGCGGGGCCGGCGCCAGGTGTGCGCCATGGCAGCTCGCGCCGTCGCGCAGGTGCCGCTGCGGCAAGCATGGGGCAGCGCGCAGGGAAGGCTCCGGAGCCGGGACAAGGCAACGAGGTCTAGTTGGGACGTGGCCGCCCCGGTGAGGCCAGGCGTGCACTCCGGTGCTGTGGGGACTGCGCTGCATGCGAGGCGCCATGGAGCTGCTCCCGCCACCGCCTGTCCCCAGCATGCTGGTACCGCAGCCCCCTGCCAGCACCGAGCAGCTCCCGGCCCTGCTGAAGCAGGAAGCCCTGAAGGAGCCCCCGGAGCATCGGTGCCAGCTCTGGCCCAACCGAGGGCGGCCCTGGCACATCAGCTGCTGCCCGTGGCTGCGCCTTCCCCCGAGAGGCCTGGCCTGCGGGGCCTGGAGCAGAAGGTGCCGGCCACGTCCCCAGGGTGCTGAAGGCCATGCAGGTGCCTGCGGCCCCCGTGGGCATGGACAGGGCTGCCAGACCCCTGCGGCGCCGCGGCGGCAGCGCGGGGCCCTCACCTTTCCTGGTCTGACTCTCTCTGATCAGGAACGACCCACTGTGGTTGCCAGGCCGGAGCAGCAGCTCTTCCGCCTTCTCCCGACTGATCCCCTCGTACAGCCACCTGCAGAGTGCGGCAGCAGAAGGTCTCACGGGCTGCAAGGGGCCCATGGGCTCTGCAGGGCCCTTCCTGCAGGCGCAGGGTGTGGAGGGACCGCACCACGCGTGGCTGGAGCAGCTCTCAGGCCGCCCGGGCACGCGGAGGAAACGCACTCTGCATGAGGCACCACAGAAGGGACCCTGACCCTTCCCCAGCATTTTCCCGTGGCACAGCCCAGGGGTCCTGCCTGGGCTGCCCTGAGTCCAGCAGCCCCTCGCCAGGCCCCTACCTGTGCCAGACCTTGGCCACGTAGCTGCTGGGGATGTGACACTGCCGGCCGGACACCACGGACGCCACCAGCCACCACTCGCCGTCCCTGCGGGAAGGAGGCTGGGCTGTGCCGGGGGCCGAGGCTGGCGGGGGCCACGGGGGCTCTCGGGTGCTACCGCCGCGCGAGGACTTACTCGGCGAGGACGCGGAGCTGCTCCCCCATCCTCAGGACGGCGGCAGCCTCCCCGCCGCAGGGGAAGTCACACGTGGCCAGTGCCAGGAAGCTGCTGGGAGCTGCGGGCAGCGTTGGGGTTCAGCGCTGCTGCCCACCGGTGCCGCTGGCCCCAGGGAGGTGGTGCTTACCTGCGAGCCGGGCGCTGGGGGGCGGCTGGGGGCTGCCCAGCTCCTTCTCCCTGCTGGGCCGGCTGCCCATGGCGGGGGGTCAGTATCTACCACTGGCCGGCAGGCTCTGCCCCTGCGGGCTGCAGGGGACAGCGAAGGTCAGACCTGGCCCCCAGGGAGCCCCGGCGCAGGGCGGCAGGGTTAGGGCTGAGGGGCCAGGGCCTCTGCCGCCCGCTCGGCTCCCCCGGGCACCAGTGACCGGGGCAGAGCAGCCAGGCAAAGCGGCAGCTCCCCGGGGAGCCCTTTGAGGAAACCACCCAGCTGCTGGGGCGGCCGCCCGGGGGTGCAGTTGCAGCAGACGGGAGCGGTGCCTCCCCCGGGCCGGGGCTGCCCCGGTTGCGCGGCTCCCGACGCTGCCCAGCCTCCCTGTGTCCCCCGCTGCTCCCATGACCTGCCCAGGTCCCCAGCCTCCCTGTGCTCCCCGCTGCTCCCATGACCTGCCCAGGTCCCCAGCCTCCCTGTGCCCCCCGCTGCTCCCATGACCTGCCCAGCTCC